TGCTGCGAAAACTCACAATCCTAATACTATTGGCGCCGCAGAGAAGGTCTGCCAGAGCCTAAAGAATAAACAAGGCAGAAGAGGGCAACCTAAACTGACCACGAAAGAGAAGACGTGGATCAGCTGGGCTACTGCTAGCCAATAGCTGCTAGACAAAGGTTCAATAACAATTGTTCCAATCTTAGCTCTTAGGCAGTTTATCCTCCGTACCCAGGAGAGGTATCTTTTCTATAATTTAAGAATCACAAAGTATATTTATATTATAAGGCTAAAAAAAATAAGCATAGTAGCTTAAAATAATACGTAAAGTTATAACTTTTTAAATTCATGAAATAAGTATTCTGAATAAATTAATAATATATTATACTTAGTTTTAGAAAGATAACCTTTGTATTATCTTATTAAGTAAAGTATTCTATTATATAATAGGAATAAGAATAAAATTAGAGAAGAAGTAATATATATTAACCCGCCCCCTCCTGGCAAGAATCCTCCTGAGACACTGTCTTGTGAAGCGCCATTTCGGATACATTAAGGGAAGCAGAGCCCGTAGGTTCATTCGAGTAGGCGCCAGACTCAGAGTTGATAGACGGCGGTGGAGCCGGAGGCGGCCTACCTCGTCAGCATCTTTGTGCGTTCATAATGGAGGCACTTACTCTTTTTTTCTTTCTTCTTTTTTCCTTTTTTCGTTCGTGAATCCCATGCCCTTCGTCACATCCGGACTGGTCTTCTGTACAATGTTGTCCAGGTTTAGATCCGGGAGGAGGTGGTGGTACTCTCGTTCTTCGTCAGTATAGTTACATGTTGGTAATACAAAACACATACTTGGTTTCATTGGTCGTGATGTTGAATCGTACACTGCGTTGTCAAAGCGTCCCCTAATCAATCCTTTGGGAATTGGAGAGTCCTTGATGGGCGTTTTCGACTGCTCCGCTTCCTCACGCGTGTAGTCTGACCAACTCATGCTTCTATCTGCTGTGGCATAGTACTTCGTCTTCAGTTGAGTGATGAAGCGACAGGAGCTCGGTGAGGTAATTGGCAGCGTCTCCAGCAACTCCAGCGGTGATCGGGGCAGGAGTCTTTGAGAGGTTCTTCACATCCGCAATGGCATTGGCAAATTAACATGCTAGGTATGACTATGCTACCAAGAAGGTACAATAGCAGGACTGACTCTGGACAAGAACAGTATTCATATCACGTTGAAGCCATCCTTGGCGACGACACCAGGCCATGTTCTTTCCATCGAGATTCTTGCTGCTACGAGTTACGGCCGCTCTGGCGAAGTCAGCGAGCTACTGCAACCAAGAGATAACAAAGCCTATCTTAATGCATCTTGGCTGCATGTGCCTGGCCAACCATGCAAGCTGCATGGCCGAGGCAGCTCATCCTGTTGGCCCTCAAGTGATGCTGATACTTTCTCTTTTTAGAATGCCGCTGGAAGCGTTGTGGGGGATGGTACCAATAATTCGCCAGGAACACTGCCGACAGGCGAGAGCGGCTCCTAACTGGCCGTTGGCAATGCTTCATCCTACAAGGTTGTGACCACAGTGACCACAGTGACCCACAGGGATCACAAGCTGGGATTACATTTTCCCCTGGAATCACACTTTGTAATGCATCCACCTCGCCAGGATCATAGATCGGGGTTCCGTCTCAATTCTACGAAGTACATCTTGCGGTACCTTGTCTCGTCTCCGCAACGACTACAAGTTGTCATCGCTCTCACTATTTTTGTAGGAGAGATCCGCGGAGCTGTATGTGCAGCGGTGGTGTTTTGTTGACTCATATGTGTGTCGGTAGCCACTACTCCTGGGAACCATCGTGGTTTTGAGATACACCTTAAGGTGAAAGGTCTGGCTCCCCGGAATTTTTAACAGTGTGCTCTTCCCTAGTAGCGATTGAATACAGGCACTGTATGCTGCATCTTTTCTAGACTCACTCAGCCTTACTGACGTTTCTCTATCTTGGGTTGTATTAAGGCTTATCCTGAGGCCATGTATCAACTGTACATAGGCTCTTAGGCCTATGAGTAACTGTAAACATCCTTGATTAAGTTCGACTGGCCTTTATTCAAGGCCGACGCAGACAATAGACGGCCAGTGGAAGCCTTAAGACGATGGCTTTGAACACCAGGCCGTGAATTCTGACATGTTCATCGGCCAGGCCTATACCCCACTGATGAAGCCACACCGATTCTCGACTGGCAATACTCGGACCTCGTTCCGACTGAGGATGGTGATTATCTGGACTAGAGTGGTAAGAAGTGGATAGACTGGCTCAGACACGCTTACAAAGTGAGTTTCTACAAGCCCGGGGTTTTCATGATGGGAATAGCCTCCTCCGGTGCCACAGGCATCCAAAAGATGAGGACGAACCGAAGCGTCATCGTGAGAGCAGCAAGGCCAAAAGGTGTCGTCAACCTCGTCTTCACTCTTGAAGGCGTCGTCGAACTTTAGAGCACCATTCAGTGTCACACCGTGCCGGGGGGTACAGCCGGCCTTCTCTCCCGTTTGGTTCTCATCCAGTGGCAGGCTGTCAAGCTCGTCTCTGGCTCGAATGCGGATTATGAAGCTCGGATAGCTGGATTTGACAGACTTGATGGCCTCGTTGAGTTGTCCTCTCGAGTTTGGCGTAGTTCTTTACGCCGGCTGCTGTCTCGGAGGTCCGTACCGGGCTGCCCGTCGGCGAGCTGCCAGGTAGCGCGAGGTTTCACGGATCGATATTTTCAACCCTCTGGCAGAGCTGCTGCGCAAGCTTGTGTTGATCAGAACTCGTGGTACTTCGGAGAGCTCTACCGAAATATGTGAGACTCTTTAAGAGACACCAACCTTCGATTATGGTTTACTTGAAGCTTTGGTCGGTTGACGTTGGATAGAATTCTGTCTGCTTATTCGGTCAACTGAAATGGTTGAATCTCAATTACGGCTAAATATCCCTTCATGTCTTGGCATCTTGGCCTCCCGCGGAAGATGTGCAAATTTGCCCAATTCGGCCACCGAAGTTCCCGAAACCCGTCCAATAAGCTCTCAAATTAAGGTACACTGAGTGCGTATGCTTAAAATAAAGCTCATCTTCGGGCTTCTCGCGCGTGAGCTTTCTCTGCTTCAGGAAACTAAGCTCAGCTCCCGTCATGCTTTACATGTGGCCCAGGAGCTCCACGTGGGATCAAGGTTACGCATGAATGGCTGAATATATCAATGGCGAGCTATTTATCAGTGTGTTTCTTTACCTGCAGGAACGAGGATGCCAGCTGAATGGCGGTCGAGAGATTCATCTGTTGAGATGACGCCTTGTCTTTGGCCCACGTATGGCTGCGTTACGCGATAACGCCACATTCAATGTTTTACATATGGAGACTATTACTACATATCGGCAACGCAATACTACAGTATCATTGCCACTGGATGAGGTTCTCCACAAGATTGTCTTGGCGATGGATATTGTGTATAAATAAAGAGACGCCCAGTTGCATTGCGGTGTGCAGAGCAAGGAATAATTTGCAAGCCCGGCCATCCCTCGTTGTCCTGTCGTTCACCATGCATTCGCTTCTGTCTCTTTGTCTGCTGAACTTGGCCATTGCGCCTGTGTTCTCCGCAACTACCAATGCTGCAAAGGGTGGCGACAAGGACGGTAAGAAGGAGTTTGATGTCAAGGCTCTCAGTCTGAGAGAAGTTGGAGCGCGCAACACAGTGGTGAGTACACAGGAATGTGTGTAGAGGATGAGAGCTGATGGTAAGCAGGATTGGCGCGTCTGGCTCGAGCAGGACGGCGAAGTCATCTCCTTCTGGCACGACATTCCTCTTTATCCCGACGAGAAGCAGGACAACATTGTCAATTTCTACGTCGAAATTCCGCGATGGACGGATGGCAAGATTGAGACTAAGCGCGACAAGCCTATGAGTATGTAGTCTATTGCGTTGTAAGCTGTCCTTGCTAATACTGATCGTTATGAATGCTCTCAGATCCCATCTATCACGACGACAAAGATGACGTGCCTCGATATGTGGCCAGCGTTTGGCCACACAAGTCTTACCCCTTCCTTTATGGATCGCTTCCTCAGACGTGGGAAAACTCCAACATAAAGCACAACTTTACTGGATACGTTGGCGACAATGATCCTATGGATGTTGTTGACATCAGTGCCATTGAGTCAGTATGAGCGAACAGCCGCTGAAGGGTTAGCTGGCTAACAAGTTGTTTATAGCCCTGGATATGTTGGCCAGGTTCGAACGATCAAGATTTTGGGCGCTATCCCCATGATTGATGTGCGCATTCTCACTCTCATTCAACGGCCATACTCTTCTCTAACCTGAACCTCGTAGGATGAGACTACGGACTGGAAGGTCATTGGCATCAACATCAATGATCCTCTATCTGCATTTGTTAACAGTAAGATAAACTTCTTATGCAGCGTTGAGTGTACGGAGGCTCACTAGATGCAGATCTCGACGACCTCGAAAAATACAGACCCGGTCTCCCACAAACCTTTTACGACTGGTTCACCGTTAGTTTCCACAGACTCCCCGTAAACTAGAGCAAAGGTGCTAATAACCATACAGTACTACAAGGTCCTCCGTAGCGGCGAGCTCAACACCATCTACGGAAACAAATTCCAAGACTCAAACACTGCCCGCGAGATCGTCGCCGAAAGTCACGGTTTCTGGAAAGACCTCGTCAGCGGCAAAGAGAAGCCCGGCAAGATCATCATCTCGCAGACTTCGCAGCCAACCATTTCCGGGAGCTACATTCCGAGCAAGGACACGACCAAAAAGTTTGACATTCCAAAGAAGTCCGACATTAAGCCTGCTGCCCCGCGACCTGCCAAGTACGACAACTGGTTTTACTTGGATAAGAACTTTTTGCCACTGCCAGAGCAGATAATTGACGTGGAGTAAACATACATAGAGACGGATCAAAAAGCATAATGGGCTGTATGTGTACTCGTATGAACATGCATCGAAGAGAGATATTTCTCAGGGCTTGATTGTCGTACATGACTTGCTTGTTGAACAACAATCGCTGGTCTATTATTGTATGCTATGACGTTCTAAATATCATTAATGCGCCCGTCTAATTATGCAGATTTATAAAAGGCAAAGTCTAGTGAGATGCCACTTTCTCCATGCAGTTGTATATCCAAATCCCAGAAAGAAGAAAAGGAGAGTGTTTAAGACACTCTCACCACCAATTTTTCCCATTACTCATACTTGTGCGTCTCAAACCTACTCTTGGCCCTGATCTTGGGACCGGATTTGAAGAGAACCCAGGGGATGGGGATCAATGCCAGAGCAATGAATCCCAACAGACTACTGGCCCAATCGATACCGAGGGTGGTGTACACTAATTCAGATGTTAGCATGTCTCAACGAAGCCTTCTAAGATAGCGTCAACTTACTCTGTATCGTAAAGAGGGGGAACACGCCAGCAAAACCATATCGCGCCAAACTGTTGGCACTGGAAGCACTGGCAACGACATTTCCAGTAAACGTGTCGGTAGTATACTGCATAGTGCTAACAAAGACACACAGGTTCCCCCACGCAAAAGGAATGATGGCAGCCGCCGGGCTTGCCCAAGAGATATCCTTGCGAGCAGTCCAGGCAAACCAGAAAAGACCGAGGGGCAGGCCAAAGCTACCGAGCATGGCGGGATAAAGTCTGTGTTCCGGGGGCACCTTGTGAGGCGGATAGTTGGGGATCTGCTTTCGATAGAGGAAGATTTCGCAGGCCATGATTGTGGCAAGCCCGAGGAAACAACCGATGACGATGGAAATAAACACCAGACCGGATTGATCGGTGGTGAAGTGGTATACCGTGCCGAATGTGTAAGGGACACCGCCGAAGAAGCTGAAAAGGGTACCAAAGTCGACGGCGACGTACAGGCAGATGAAGGTGACGATGGGTTCGGTAAACAACATTTTGACTGGTCGAATAGCTGCGACGACGGCGAATGTCTTGATGCGCTCGTTCATGGGAGGGAGAGGAGGGAGTTCGATGCCCTTCTTCTTGGCTAGACGACGCTTGAGGACGGGGTGGAAAGTCTCTCCTATCATTAAGCCCAGGCCAATGCTGAATACGGAGAAGAAGAGCATTGTCCACTCAGTCCATCGCCAGCCCTTGTCGACGGAAACAAAAGAACCGATAACGGGACTGTAGAAGAGGAATTATGTTAGATTCGCAACTAGTAGTATAAGAAGACGGAGACTCACCCAAGGCCGGGACCCAGGAAAGGTGTCAGAATAAAAATAGCGCTGACGGGCCCTCGCGTCTTTGGCATAAACGTCTCTGAGATGGATCCAGGCGCATTAGCCAGGATAGGGGCCCAGAAGAAGCCAGAGAGGAAGCGGAAGAAGCACAGCGCGCCAAAGTTGTGGACGAAACCGGCGCCAAGGGTCCAGAGAGCGCCAATGGTCAGGCCGCCCATGATAACGGGGTATCGTCCAATGGTTTCGGAAAGGGGACCGCCGATGATAGGGCCAATACCGAGAGCAACGACGTAGAGGGTGAGAGGCAGCAGGGCGACGGTTCGGCTGACGCCAAACTCTTCCATGAGGAGGTTGACGGACGAGGAGGAGATGGAAGTCGCTATTGAACTGTAGACATCTTTCGTTATTATTGCTCTTTGAGATTGCTTCTCTCACCAAAACATTGACTGCTTCAAACGCAGTTGTAGACGTTGGGAGTGATGAGCGTGTTGCGACTTACACCGTAAGACCCATGGTAGCCAATGCAAAAATGGTCAGGGCCTTTTTCCATCCCGGAAAGTTGTAAGGATTCTCAGGAGCATTGTCCCAGTCGAGCTCGTCCTGTGCCTGTGCGACCTGTCCCTTTTCGACATCGCTGTTGCTGTTGCTGTCGCTATTTCCATACTGCTCGTCCGGCTGTATGTCCAAAGTCTTGTCATCATCGAACGCGGCCGGGGCGTTCAACGTGGAGGAGGACGCCATCTTAGCGTCTTCTCCCTCTTTCGAAAACGCGACTGGTTTAGGCTGAAGTAACCAGTGAGTCGAGGGTGGGAAGGTTGAGGAGCTTCTAGTCGTTTTGGAGATGGTCGTGCTTATTGTTGACTCTTCGAAAGAACCGGCGTGGATAAATCGTAATTGTATAATCCCGGTCACTTCTCTTATCCTTCACAGCTTTTTATTCCTTGCTCCAACTCCCTATTATTTCTCTGTTACTGTCGTTCGTTGTATTGATGGCTGAGAGACGGTCTCTCTAACAGCAAAGAACCTGAAGTCCACACCACCAGGAGACTAACCTCGGGAGAAGGGGCAGGCAGTCTTTAAAAGCAGCCATGCTTGCCCAACGCATTTTTTATTTCTCTTCCTTTCGTTACTACGCACCTCATACACGGTCCACCACATACTCAAACAAGACAATGCTCTGGTTGGTAATCCGGGAACGCCTCAGATCTCGGTGGACGGGCCGGGTCCGATAGAAAAGCGGGTATTCATTGATTACTGAACGCAACCAAACTCTGCCGAGGTAATGAATAAGTGTACGATTCATCCAATGAGACGGCGTGAATCAACGACACCATTCCGCTTCCGCTTCCGCTTCCTACAAGAGGATTACTATTCCAATACTTGACTCTTGCTCGGGATGGCGCCTTTTATCGGCCTTTGCCACATGAAATGCTCGTTCGGGGTCTCTGTCGATGATAAGGCGACGTTCTAATCACCAAATGGAGAAGCAATACCCGCCAAAGCCCACATGATTCCAGATCCTGACCTATCGAGAAAAGAGGAAGCCCAAAAAACTTTGTAACATTGCTTCAAGTTCAATCATTTACGGGTCCAGACTAGGATAATCTTGCAGAGGTTAAGCTGCTTACACCCTAAAAGCAACACGGCCGTGGTGGCGGCTGGACCTAGATTACTGATTACTGGCTTGTGTAAGTGAGCTGAAAGAGAACACGAGCTAGAATATGTCCGCTGGAGTATGAAATTTTCCCACGTGTTGCGGGATTGGGATGGGTGGACGGAGCCTACGTGGGAGGCGTCACGGCAAATGTCACTCCGATCTTTGTAGTAGCACGCCCTTTGTCCTTGTTCCGATGACTGATTGGACTGCTTAAATGCTACCCTTTGACGATGATTCACATGGTTCCGGATCTGGGGGCTAGAGATATGCAGCGGTGCGTATTGGGATTGGGATTGGGATTGTCCTGCCTTGTGTCTATGCGTATCTACCAGGTATGATGCTTACCACGAAATACGCCTAATACGATCAGCATACGGCGGTTTACAGGCACAGCTTCCGGGATCATCGCCTTGCATGAAGCCCGTTGCTGTCATCACACAACGAAACATCTATCTTCAAAATTACACCTGTAGCATCTCGTAATAGTAATACTGTGCAGCAGTATACCGCGGGTAAATGGAGGGCAGCCACCTGCGTAATGTCGTAAAGCTACCAGGGCGAAGGGTCCCAGCTATTGAGCTCGGTGCATCTCAACAAAGTGAACCTCCTCAGTGTAATTGCCGATGACTTTTCTCTGATAACTGAGCTTGCGTATGTTGGGGCGCGATATCGACTGAGAGCTCAGTAATCGCGGAAGCTTCACCTCTGGGGCGACGTAACCCGGACAAAGATAACAGCCGACGCGCATGGCGAGATCGAACTCAATCTGAACCCTGAAATGAATTTGATGCGCTTAGAAACTGGTCAAGAGTAATCTGAAAAATACTTTGGTTGAAATTGCAAACGCGCCAAGTCTTGTAGAAGATGGACAATGGTGACCAGGTCCCCCGATTATGTGATCCCGAGGCTCGAAAGCCCGGCTCCGGACCTGCATCATGGGCCGCACCGTAGCGCCGGACCTTGCGTATTATTAAAGCTGCATGAAGTAATGTGGAATCAAGAGGCAAACCACTAGACTCTGGCCTCTTTTACTTGTTCAAATTCGGATCTATGACAAAGACTGCCTGAAATAATCTTCACTTAATACCATCTAGGACCAGTGTAAGCTACCTTAAGTCGTTCCCTATTTTAAGCTACCTATTATGTGCAGACTCAATTAGACGGTGAATTTTGAAGACTTTCTAGAAGTTTTATGTATTCCTTAACAACATTGCTTCAAAACAAATTTAACTTCATTATCATCTCAACTTCAATAGCTATGTATCTAGGAACGATGAAAAGAACAAATTCAGCAGTATATAGCAAAGATTCTCAACAATCAGAATAAACACAATTCGTCTGTTTCGAACATACCCATTCCAGTCATTTTTATATCCTCTTCTTGTGATCTCAGTCTGGGCCTCTTGCTCATGCGGCTATCCAAGTCCTCGATCTTCATGTCTGGTGCTCTAACTGCGCCTTCAGTACAACGCAATACCAACTCGCCGAATTCAGTTTTAATCTCGGGAACCACATATTCTTTATGGTCCCAGCGATCAGTATCCTGGATAGTGGCGCTGTTATCTAACAGTAACTGAACGAGATGCGGGGAGCGGTCTGCTCCAGAGTGATAATGCTCTTGGGCATAATCTATAGGTCTTTTGCCATGGAGATCAGTGGCATCAACCTTGGCGCCCTTGTTTAACAGGGACTCGGCTACTTGTTGGTGACCAGACTCAACAGCTAAATGTAGCGGCGTTTTACCATTTTCATCAACGGTGTTGACATCGGCGCCATGGTTTAACAACGGATAGAAGGAGGCTTCCTGATTTTCAGACCAAGGATTCGAGTAGTTCTCATATGTCAAGAAAACAGCGGAATCCGGTGCTTTGCGGCCATCAGTATTGGCGGCATTGGTAGTTGCACGCCGTTCTAGCAACAGTTGGACAACACGCTGCTGGCCGTTACCCGCCGCATGATGTAGCGGTGTTTTGCCCTCGCGGTCAGCAGCTTCAAGATTTGCGCCCCAGTCCAACAGCTGCCGAACAGTATCTTCATTGCCGTGCTCCGCTGCACAATGCAGAGGTGTTTCATCATTTAAGTTTAAAGCTTCGATATTGGAACCATTTTTCAGCAGCTGTCGAATAATCCTCTTGCCGCCATTGATAGCTGCAAGATGCAGCGGTGTTTCACCATCTAAATTCGGAGCTTCGATATCGGCACGACGTTTCAACAGTTGTCGAACAATATCTTCATGGCTCCATAAAACTGCAAGATGAAGCGGTGTCCTGAAATAATAATTCTCCAGTTCGGTATTAGCTTCCTTATCTAGCAGCAGTTGCACGATAGGTTTCCTGCCGTTTTCAGCTGCAATATGCAGCGATGTTTCGTCATCATCATTAACAGCATCGATATTGGCGTTATTGTTTATCAGTAGTTGAACAATATCGGCATAGCCATGTTTGGTTGCGACATGCAACGGGGTGTCGCCCAATTCGTTGGTATCCTCAATATTGGCGGTAGTTTTTCTAAGTAGTAGTTTGATGGCTGCTGTAAGCCCAAACCAGGCAGCTAAATGTAACACCGTAGTTTGACTTTTCAACTCCGAGAAAGCGGGTTCGTTTTCGTGCCATTGGATATGCTTGAGTATTTTGTGATATGATTTCATTCTCGCTGTATCCGTTAAAAACTCCATTGTTTCATTTCCTAGGACAGACTCTTCTCTGGCATGGCGACCCCAATAATGAGAAGCGTAACCGTAGAACGGGTGAGAATCCACGCGTGATACAATAGAACAAGGGCCATCGCCTGCTCTCAGCTTAAATGTTTTGTATGACAAGTAGGTAATACAGGTCATTGTGATTTTGGAGTGGGCTTCTGGGAACCATCTCTTGAACGTCTGTTGGAAATATTCTTGAGCTGTGTAGTGAAGCAATTGGATGGTGCCGCTTTTGTTGTCGATAGTAACCAAACCAGCACATACAGACGCCATACATTCAGTGTCTGGCCTGCTGTCTTTGTCAAATTTCGACTGCCCTTCTTTTACCGCAAGCGCGTGCTGAAGCTCAATCACTCTCATTGGCCTCCACGCAAAGGTGAGCCAGGACAAAATCGACGTTGCCAATCGCGTTTGTTCTTCAGATTGTTCGGCAATCCTTTCCATCGTTGCTGTATAGATTTGTTCGTATGCATCAGAACCTGTTGCTAGATTCTGCAAAGCACTAGTAATCTCCCTCCGTGTTGTTTTTCTTTTCAGAGATTCGAGGTGAAGGTAGGCCACAAGAAACCTAGCTGGCTTAGTACAAACGATTGATTGAAAAGGTGGTTATTTACTTACATTCCCTGAACAGCCTGAACGACACTGCCAATAATTTTTTCCTGCAGGTTGGGATCGTTCCGGACAAATCTTGGGAGATAGACCATGTTGCCTCTAAGGTATCTTTGCACATCTTCGTCGCTCGCACGTATCTCCAGTGAAGGGGTACTCGAAAACGCACTTGCAATTTCCATATCAAAACGAGAAGTTATAAAAAAATTTGCTTCTGTTTCGGATTGAAGTTGAAAGACGGATGATAGGACCCTCGACCGCGTGCAGTGAGCCGACTCGCACTCGTCAAGTGCGTCGATAATGATAAAAACCCTCGAGTATAATGCTACTACGGATTGAAGAGCTCGGGTGAGTTCTTTGGTAGGTGGTCGGATCTGTTTGGCTGCAGTATTGTATTGTTCGTAGAGCCCGTGTACCACTTCTGGTAGAGGGGATTGAGATGTTATCAACTGCCTCAAGAAGCTTGCCAGTAAGACATCGATTGTTTGCTCGTGTCGCCGCTTGTGGTTGAAGAAGAAATATGCAATAACCGTTTTTGAGTCTTCTTTGAACTGTGCGTGAAGGTGATCAATTACAACCGACGTTAGAACAGTCTTGCCCGCCCCGGGCATGCCTGGACAGAACAACATGTGCTTCCTTTTTTGAACCCACGTTTGGAACTTTTCTGAGCTAAGCAGCCATTCTCCGGATCCTTCCTGACGTATGCTGAGATAGTCACTTGGTTGTGTGTTAGAGTCGGGTGGAGAGAGCCAGTCAAGGATGGCGATCTTGTTGTGGTCATGGTACCCATTATCAGGTTGCTCGAGGCGTTTTGCCACATCTTATGTAAAGGTGATTAAAGTTAGAAATAAGCAGTGGTAAATAGGAGTTTTATTAACTAACTGGAAGGAACATTTGCAAAGCTGTTCTCATGCTCAATTGTAGTAGGATGAATCTGTCCAATGAGGTCTTTTGCGTAAGCTGCTGCGGTCATTGCTGCGTAGCCTTGCCAGTCCTTATTCTTATGTGAATCTGAGTAATCGCATATTCCACGGACAACCAGACACGGGAAATGGTTCATCAACCCAGCTGCTTCCATCTCAAAACAAAGAATATGATTCTTGAGGGCAAGTGTATCTCGAATCGAAGCATCCTTCATTAGCTGATTACCAGATGCAATAAGGCCATAGTGAATCATTGATTCTTGATTCTTGGCTCGTTGCTCTCGTGACTTTAGCTTCGAATCACCGCAAACTTCCGCGCAACTCTTTTCGCTTTTTGAAGGGTGAACAGCATCGCTGAGATAGAGTCGATCAGTACTCGGATCAGGCCGTTGGTAGTCTTCCAGGAGATTCGGATTTTTGTTGAGTATGCCATTTATAGTGTCTTGAAACTGATGGCCACCCTTTTCCTGTAGAGCCTTTTAAGGTTACCCACGGCGCCCCGTAATAGTGCAGGCGACTGGTCCAAACACCTTGTAGGCTGAAATTCTTGGTCCTGAATTGCTTTCCCAAAGTCATACTGGAACACTCCTCCCTGCCCATCCTGCGAAACTCCAACAACAACATCTCCTAGGCGGATATCATGCGTGGTTGGGACGCCACCTCCGACGCCTACCATCAGACAAATCCTCACATTAGGAAAGCTGTTCAGCATATCTCTAGCAACTGCTGCCGCCGTGCTGTTACCATATTCTCCGAATGGTAGGCAAGCAATGACTACGTTGTGCTGTCCCATTTTTCCAAGTACGTATGTGTTGTTATCGCGAGGACCAATAGCACTGGGCGCCAGGTGCTCTTCGTCGAGCAATGCTTCAGCCGCACCCTGTTCTATGTTGATAGCACATAGCCAGCCGACAGTGTAGTCTTTGGGGTTCGACATGATTGGTATCAGATATTTTAGCTAATTAATAGCAGTGAAGGTTTTTAATTTTAGAGAAAAGTAGCTGTGATATGAGAGATTGAAGATGTTAGAAGAAACGTAGTTATAGTGGCGAGAAGAGCGTATATATATTCAGAACCCTTGCCGATATACCTACTGCAAGTGACTGAAATATCAGGCAGCTAGTCCATCGTAATTGGAAGCCCAGCCCGATTCATTCGACTCCTGCTTGGTGTACCCAACAAGTTGGGCTCACGAAAAGCTGTAGATGAAACGAGGCTGTACATTGTACTACACGCTAGAAGTAGTACGAACATCGAACTACAGGTTGAAGATCCATCCTCCCGAGGAAGCGCGCGTCTATCAGAGATTAAAGCTGTTTCCTCACCAATGCTATAGTTACAAAGTATAAGCAGTGTGATGGTAATACATACTTTGCCACGCTTGGCGGGCGTCTATCAGAGAAGAAACCGGTTTTTCATCAATCCTATAATCAAACCATATAAGCAGTACCATGGTAGTACGAACTCTGCCACGCTTGGCGAGCCTATCTATGTAGAGTTGCTGAACAGTTGCTGAACAAATATATTTAAATGCTACAAATATGTTGCCCCTGTCGGCTAAACGAGAATATTTAAGGCGCAGTTTAAGGCTACCAAAGGCCTGTCCTACCTGTAAGCCTCACTTACTCACAAAGAGGGGTCTACCCAGACCAAGAGTTGCCGCCCGGCATTCCGTATGACAAGTACTAAAGACAGTATTAAGCACTAGCGACTTTGATGGCGAGAGTAACAGGTCTAGAAGGTTGCAAGAATAGATTGGATATTGAAAGAAAGCAGCGATGTTAGTAGTTCAGGAAAGTGTTAGATAAATAATTCTTTCTAGTATCTTGCTACGAGAGCTGGATTGAAACCACTGTGGTGCTAGATAGCCAAGTGAGGTACTGGATAAAGAGTCTGTGAATAATGTGTGACATACAAACCTGAGTTTTTCTAATACTCAAGTCTTTCTATTATGATTCTAGTGAATGTGTATTTGTTTCGTGAGTGTTCAACGGCTAGCGTTAGCAAGATGTCAAAACATCAGCGTGGGTATTAAAGCTAAGGGTACCTAAGGATAATAGGGTGAAGAGCAGAGAACATGACAGCCCTGACCACTCTATTTGACAGCTTTATCGCTGAGGTGGGATTGAGCAAGAGAGTTCATGAAAGCGTAGCAGGGGGTTTAATTATGGGCATAAGGACAGAGTAAAAGCACTATATCTGCAGTTGCCTCCCCCATCTCATATGTAAAGGTAAATCCTAAGGAATCAGTACTTTGCAGAAAGGGCGATGCTAGTAGTAGTAGGCAGACAAACATAGAAAGTGGTGTGAACATGTTTAAATAGTGAAAACACGACCTCTCTCGCATTTCGACGGTAAATGTCTCTGCCACACTGCGGCTAATGACGAGCAGCAGGCGTATGTAAGATGTTTCCATGCTATAAATGTAGAAAGATTGATTTGAACAGAGGGATAGGCAATAATAACTTGAAACATCATTCAACAACATCAAACAAAACTCATGGCCTCAGTTTCCAAAAGGTATCATCACTGGTCATGAAGGAGGAAAGGAATTGGTGAAGTTGAGCTAAATCCCCATGTAGACCTCAGCCTGCCCCCTGACAGGCTGAGGTCAAATGAAAGGAAAGGAACAGATGCTACACAGCGGGGATAAGCTCACTCACCTTTCCCTCCCCCCGGATGAGACGCAGATGTGAGAGAACAAAGGACAGGAGGAGGAGGAGGCAGCGAATTTATAGATTTCTCAGCGTCTGCCTATATATTATAGTTTGTAAAGGCGCTCCAAAGGCAAAAAAGGTTTCTGTACGCCACAACGAAAAAAGCAATATTGTATCAAATCTTCATATAGCAGATCGCTACAGTAATGAGTCAATCTCCGCCACTTGCTATCAGAGTTTGGCTTTAAAATTCGAAATCCATCTCAAAAGTAAGATCAGAATCACCAGGGTACTGCTTAGACAAACGTTAAGTTAGCCATGAGCTTGCGGAGTAAAAGGCTTTGGTTCTATTAGATAAGGTTTTAAATTTTAAGCTCATGCAGCTATTAGATCTATAGGCATGTTCATAGAAAGTGGGATGTTACGCGCAGTGGCACTGTGGGTGATTCTGTCTCCTCTTGTGTTGTAACTTATAGCCTCATTACAGCCTCATTACAGCCTCAATGAAAGCTATCAGGCCCTTGATAGCTTGTGATTTTACACAGTCAGAACGGAAGGATTGATCAAAAAGAGTGTTTCTCATAGTTGGTGAATAGCCTTATGCCAGGTAGCGGCAACTAAACCCTTTTGACATTCATGAATCTTCCTTTCAATGCCGAGCTTGATATTTGCTTCCGATGCGTATACATAATAATAACTAACGCTATACTTGCCAATGTAAGCGGCTGAGAGCGTAATTGTCTGCACCGAAGCCTCACCGAAGACCTTTGTCATTGGTCAAATCACCACCTTGTCTGCATAACGCAGATACAGGTCAGATTTTGACACCCAACCATACGCGTAGCGCTTTATAATGACAAACCAGTCTAGGACACATGTAATCTCATCAAATGCATTTGCGCACTATATAGGAGGCTTGCATGGCCGCCAAGATGTTGGCGCAAATTGTGCTACGAATATTTCAGACTTGCCAAGACTGAAGTGCCCTTAAGACGACGAGTAGTTGAGGATTGAGCTCAATCGACAACTTAACGAGTTTCTCTATCGAGTCTCCAGCTAACAGGCTTTAAATATCCGGGATGAATCTTGCGTATGGAAGTAATAACGTTACCAGGTTGTTGCTAGGTACAGCAGTAATATAAAGCGGATTTCACACATCATTGTTATGGCCAGCCGGGGCTGAAGGTATGCAACGTAGGCGCATCTTGTATCCCTATTCTGTTAGAACTCTGCCCTTGCATCCAAGCGAGCAGTCTACTCTTCCTTTTTCGTCGAAATAGCACGCGGGCACAATGGTGCCAAGACATATGAGCTCTCACCATAGGCTCTTCGGAGACTTTTATACTTGAGAATGATTCGCGGCCTTTCAGCCAAAACGCCACTGTCATATAAGTGCTAGGATGTTTTGCAAATTTTCTTACGCCACAGCAATACGCGAGACTCTACGCCAGTAAAGCATGACCACGTTTGCTATTAGTACAACTCAGCTGGCTGCTGAATAGGTTTTGCAGGGATGCAAGGCAAAGTACAAAGCATCATACAGAGAAAGACAGGCTTTTGCCCCCTCGTAATGCACAAGGGAGCGATGAAGACTTTCATGGTGTATATTGCTGTGCTTTGTGTAACCAAGTTTGCCCGTCTATATAAGATTTAAAAATCCCTTCTCTGGTTGAACAAGTCTGTAACAAAGCAGACATCAATCAGTATTAACAATGAGAAATTTTACTCCCGAATGCACCCTTCCTCCCAACGGGACATATAGCGGATATGTCCATGGGGTAAACGCCAGGTCAACTCTAGAGATTGTCTGGAGTTGCATCAGTATCATTATCTTGTCTACATGGTCCATCCTACACCTCGACCTCCCCGCAGATGTTGTTACAAAGGGTTTCAGACAGTGGCTTTGCAAACAAATATATCTCCTCTGGCGGAAAGTATTCTGGATGGGCCTGAAACTCTTCTCTCCAGAATTTGCCGCTACTGGTTGTGCAAGAAAGATTTTTGCTACTCGGTTCAACTCAGCAATGTTGGAGCAACTTGCACATCGAGATGAAGTTCCTTGGAGTCTAAAGCACACAATCCTTGTTGATATGGGCGGAATCGCTCTTCGCTTCCTCCCACCAAAGGATGGTGATACTCCAACATCAGACCAGGATACGCAGAAAATATTACCCGAAGGTGGCGAAATACCTGAGTTTATTAAGGATTTTTGTAGGAGACAGGATCGACTTCTGAAGAGGTGTGGAAGAATTCCGTGGGATTTGTGGGAGTGCCATGTTGAGCATGCTTTCGAGATGGAAAATCGCAAAAATGGAGAGTCATCACAGCAAGAATCACAGCAAGAACCACAGCAAGGATTGCAGGCAGAGCCGCAGGCGGAACCACAGGCGGAATCACCTGTGGAATCAACTTTGAGTGAAGCCGATGTCGCAGCATTAGCTGGAAATATCTGGATACTAGATTCGAAACAGCTTGCGATCGCACGAAATAGGAATATCATTACGAAAATGCCACATATTACGGAAGAGGCGATCGACGATAAAAGCAAATCAGACGGCCTGGTGAAAATTATTGCTGTACTCCAGGTACTCTGGCTTGTCGTCCAACTGGTAGTTCGAACCATTGATAATCTACATTTCACTCAGCTGGAAATCACCACAGTCGCCTTTGCTGCAACCGCAGTCATTATATACAGTATTGACTTCATTAAACCCAAAGATGTCAACGTGCCTTTCTACATAGATATAAGAAAGGTTGTCAAGTACGACGACTTCGTTGCTATTGCCAAAGCAGCTCCATTTGCATATATTCAGGGCAAGCGATATTATATGCCAACTTCTACTTTGCACGATTTGATTGACTATGAGGATCCGGATATGAGTCTAGAGAGTGAAGATACAGACGCCAGAGATACAAACACCAGAGTTACAGACGCCAGAGATACAAACACCAGAGATACAAACACCAGAAATACAGACACTAGAGATTTAGGTAACGTCGATCCAGAGACCACAAATCCAGGGAATACCGACCCAGAAGGCAGCAGCCAAGAAAGCAGTCGTCTACCGAACGGCAGCCAAAGGGAAACTCGTCAAGGGGGAAATGGGGAGGAAGAAAAAGGTGAAAAGGACGACTACAGATGCTACAAGGATCTAAAGAACAAAAAGTTGACATGTCAGTTCTGCTTCCAATGGAGAAATTTCATACGGAAGAAGCGATCTAAGAAGAGTGGATGTTCTTGGCGCAAGCTTTACACACTTTCCCCGAAATCAGCCGATATTTTCTCGTTACTCATTGGATTCGCGTCAGCTACTTCTTTTGGAGGCGTCCACCTCTTTGCATGGAATTCCGACTTTCCCACAGACGTTGAGAGACTCTTGTGGAGAATCTCAGCTCTAATGACTATCGTCCTGCCTTACATTTACATTGCTACCCATATACCTCATGTCGGAGACACAGTAGCAGACATCCGAAAGCAAAAGAAAACGGTGATGAACATTGTTCTCGGGTGTATTGCAATATGCTATATCCCTTGCCGGCTTTTTCTTGTCACTGAAAGCTTCAGGGCGCTGTACTTTCTTCCTTCTGAAGCCTTCAAGGCAACACCAGCGGTAATGAGCATTCCGCACTTGGGATAAGCTCAGGATCAGATGAGTGGATCTTGAGAAAGGAGAGTGTATATGGGTCAAGATTGTTTTCCAGATGTCTATGTTCAAACCGCCTCACATGGTTACTCGTTGCACCTGTCATTCAAAGGCTTGAGGAGCTGTAGAACACACCTTCACTAGTTTTTCTCATGTCATATACTATGCTACACTAATCTAGGTTCTTTTGTTTAGCAATATTGTATGCACAATTACTGAATATTACACGATTCTAACACCCACTCTACCTACCTACATGCTTCTGAGCCTCCTTCAATGTCTGTTAGCCTCTTCTCATGTAGTTGTATGGGCTAGTTGTAGTTGCCAGATACTCCAAGGCCTCACTCAGTTCCGGCAGTGTAAATACTCTTTTGTCCATAACCGACTGGATCCCATTGGCTTCTATTGCGGTCATCATTTCCTTCACAAGACCTCTTGAGCCAACATGGATGCCGCAAAAGGTACACATCTTCAACAGTGCAGACATGATGCTCTCTGGCGGAGTCACTCCCGTTACAACCCCGATGACCGTAATAACGCCTTTTAGCTTGATCGCCTGTATACTATTTAGCATCGTGCCAGTGTCGCCAACTTCAACGATAATGTCGAAGCTTTCTTAGGTATGCATCAGCTTTTCCGCAGTCTGTCCCCAGTGTGGATGGTGGCGATATGAACCAGGCTTTAATCTACAAGAATTTGGGTATCTACTATGCATTACGAACCGGCCGATACATAGTTCAGCCAATATGACATCGACGTGTTTCATTACCTCTGCAAAAGTACCCGTAACCTTGTGGTGACCAAGGCGATTGAACTATATTTAAGTTATGCTTTTGCTGATTTTTCTTATCTACATTTTATTCTACTTGTTGATAATAATTAATGAAGTGTGAGGTTGTACTGCGCATTATTTCAAGCCGTTTATCAACATGCACTCATTCGCCGCGGTGGTTGAGTCATCGCCGAGATTCAACATTCAGCGCCCTGGCAAGGCATCAAAACATATGACCATCACGGCCAAGAGAAAAAAGAGTATGATGAATGAAGAGTAATATTTCTGTGCTATAAATTATCTGGGTTAGATTGCCAAGACGTGCACTTCAGAAGAAAGCACACCCTGCTCTTGACAGGCTGATGAGCGGTGCTAGAACTATCCACCATATATATATTGGCTAGCTGGTTTTTCAACCTCAAGACTTCAATTCAGCAACATCACCATCACTGCATGGTAGACGCTCTACATAAAAGCAGACATTATTTCGCAGAATTCCAATGGCCAACCGACAAAAACCGCGGTTCGCCGCTCCTCTGCCCCAATCCCCTCGGTCCGACGTGCTCGAGTGGAAATTCCCCAACCCGCACAGCCACCTCGTCCTCACAGGCCGATCTCGAGCCGCCTGGCACACATCCTTTATCATTCCCTCGCTCAATCTTCTGCTAGATGCCGGCCTCGTCGTCAACAACCAGCGTCCCAAGCACATCTTCTTGACGCACGGCCACAGCGATCACACGCTGTTGGCGCCGGCATTCGTGAAGCGCGATGATCCGCCGGATATTTTCTGTCCCATCGAGATGAGGACTGCGTTTGACAATTTCGTCCTTGCCAAGACGATACTCAATCTCGGAGGTGAAATCGGGCCTGAAGACGCAGATATCCGGGGGCTTCCCATCGACGACAAAATAGTTGCAAGGAGCGAGGAATTGGGCCGGACTCCCTCTTCTACGGCTTTTCTCAACACGCACTTCACTCACGGGTTATCTCCCGGCGATGTTGTGCCTCTCCGCCGCGCTCAGGGCATCACGGCCACGGCTTTTCGCTGTGACCATCAAGTTCCCTGCCTGGGCTACGTCTTTAGCAAAACTACGCAGCGTCTGAAACCCGAATTCGCCTCTTTGCCGGGTTCTGAGCTTCAAGCACTGCGTAAGAGCGGCACCGAGCTCACGGCTCCTCATACCACGCCTATATTTGCCTTCTTAGGCGATACGACAGCACAGACGTTGGCTGCAGAACCATCATGGTTAAAAGAGGGAATTCCCGTCGTCATCACAGAGTGCAGTTTTCTCTATGAAGAGCACGAAGCACAAGGCATAAAGACAAAACACACGTTATGGCGGGATCTAGAAAAAGTCATAAGAAAGTGGCCGGAGACGACCTTTGTCCTGACGCACTTCAGCATGCGGTACAATGACGCCGAAATCGCGAAATTCTTCAACGAAATGCCTGAACCGCCAGAAAACATGGTCGTGTGGGCAGATTTGGAATGCTGAGCGAGAGAGAGAGAGAAGAAAATCGTGTGGACGTCCTTGTGAGCTGGTAAGCGACGACACCGCCAATTTTCTGCACTGCCCGTGGATGAGCTGTCACTCGTGTCACCGTGGATATTGCATCCCAAGTTACATGTTGGTGTGACCCTCAGATTGGGTGGGCTTGACTGTGAGATGAAATGTCCCAGGGGATAGCGACCACATACACCAAATCAATACAAGATCAAGCCCGACGAAGAAGGGTTTTGTTCACAAACCGATGATGAAGCACCGCCCAGTTGGAGCTACCAGCGGACCTCTTCCGACTTACACAAATCAAATCTATAAAAAGGAACAAGCAGCTCTTTTTAGTTCCGGGTCATCGGGAATTCTAAAAAAGCATCTTCTGCGTCTTCTTCCACGGGGTACACCAACCCTCGCCTCTCACAAGGCCATCTATAAACGGCAATTCTACGAAGCAAACATTTCGCAAATGGCACGTTCCAGCTTCATCCATGAACCATGCAAAATTCGATTTACTTCTTATGCTCCGTTTCTCTCGAACCAGGCTGGTTTTGTCATACCTGCAGAGAGGCTGCCTTGTTTTTGGTTCGGGCTGAACTCAAATACAGACGGTGAGCCTCCTTTGCGTCTCGCTCCTCCTGTTGCTTCAGGCTGCAACAAGACTCTCTTTCTTTTTCTTTTCTTTTCTTTTCTTTTCCAACTTTTCTTTTCCAACTCAAAAAGTTTCCTCATGAATGAAAGACATCCAGCTACCTCTTCTTGCTACTCTATTTCATCCAAGCTCATCACCTTCAACACCCGCGATCCCAGCCATCAAATCACCATCACCACCAGACATATACATATACAACTACAACCACAAAAGATCACAAATCACCACCGCCGCCATGTGCGTCCACTTCCGGTCCTGGAACCGCTGCTCCTCCTGCTTCCTCACCTTCAACCGCCGCTGCAACCGCGTCCCCTGCTGGAACGGCTCCCTCTCCCGCTGGCGGATCCACCGCCACGGATTGTCCTGCCGCAGCGGCTGCTACGAGCGCGCAGACGACGAGGTCTACACGCACTTGCCCTGCGAATCATGCAACAACACGGAGGCGGCAACCGGCGCCCAAGGCAAGACGGGTGTGATGGAGGCGCGGAACGCAGGGGTCTTAAGAGGGAACAGAGCTACTACGACTGCGGCGATGAAGAGACGGGCGGATATTAGTGGTGTGTTTATGAGGTTATGGTCGTTTAGGGAGGTGTTGCGTGTGCGTGGAAATAGCAAAAGGGGGAAGAGACATCTTCGCATGAGGATAAGGATGCTGTAATGTCCAACTTAGACCAAGCTTTTACAATAACAATATCTAGACTTTTTCAACTCTCACTCTCACTCTCTTCCTTTGACCCCCCCTTCTCCGTATGGTAATAAAACCTCATCAAGTTGAATCAAAAAATCCGTAACACAAAAGCCCTGCGCGTTCTTCAATAAACAAGCCACATGCGCCTCTCCTGTTCCCCCCAAAACACGCGCGTCACACAGAAACCGGGCCCTCGCAGCATAACCCGTTACCCAAGTATCGACACCGTTTTAGAGGGGGGCGGTCAGCCTGTCCTGCCGGGTAATTTCTCTCCTTTCTCCTCTTCTTGCTCTACTTTGGTGTGTGTGTGTGTGTGTGTGTGTGTATCATGTTGTGACGGCGCTTTATGAAACCAAGGTACGTTCTGGGATAATGGAGATGTGAAGTGCTATGAGGAGAGGGACTGGTACAACACTGTGATACAAACATTCTCGTAGCCATTTTGTATTATTTCTATTTTGTGCGTTGTTCTCGTAGGTCACAAATGACGTTTACGGCATTGCGTGAAGCTGTTTGGTCAAGGTCATGTGGCCGGCCCAGCTACCCGGCATTCAACATACAAACATTGGCAAAGACCAGCACCACATCATGTGAAGCAGCGTTGAACTTGGCGGATATTCAATCTAAGCTTGAAATATGATATAATACTAAAGAAGAAGAATCATTATCGAAAATTGACATTATCCCATTTCTTTGTGCATTTAGCTTGATGAAGTTGATGAAGTTGATGGAGTAAATCTGGTAGACATCGTCACATTCCTTGCTCCGTCTTCATCCCACGGCATTCAACTTTTCCTACCTAATCCAGAAAACAACGAATAATAAACGGTATATCATCAATTCATTGTAAATATTACTTGGCAGCATCTTGATCAACTGCCGCTAATTCACTCAGTTATGATGCACCCTCCCCCGGATTCGCTTTCGCTCTCGTCTCTCTTTCGGCACCTCGTAAAAAAGCTTGACAAAAAAAACCAAACAAAAGCCCCGTGATTATATATACAAACCGTGCTTTCCTGCACCGAGTTCCCGTTTCCCAAAACAAAAACAATGTCGTGACCCTTTTTCTTGTGCCTGCCACGCCTACATGTTTGTATATATATATAAAAAGACAGTCAAGAAGCCAAGGAACACGGTTCGCAGATGGCCTAGCGAAAAGAAAAAATGGCCGTATTAAATAGTGCTTGTTATATGCCGGTGTAGATGTATTTTTCTTAATCCTGTCGTGGCAATGAATAATGAGGAGTCATCTAGGGTCAAGGCGGTCTCTTGTTCATGCCTTCTCCTCGGGTTGGCTCTGAGATGTCTCCTCGGACTGCTCCCGAGTCTCTTCCTTGGGTGGATACTTGGCCATGAGGTCTTTCTCAGTAATGTAAAAGTCAGACTTTTCGTCCAGGAACTCCTTGTGGAACAGTTCGAGATAGCCTCCAGGAACCTGCTGGCCGACAAAGACCTTGATCCAGCTGTCCTTTCCGGTCCACAAATGGCGAATGAAGCGACCCTCACACTCGGAATCGCTGTTAGGGAAACCGTTGGCGTCGGTGCAAGCGAGCTGCCTGATGTCTTCGGGGAAATCGTATCGAATAAAGGTGCCGAAACCGCCCTGGTCGGTAGGTCGGCCGGGCGAGTTGGTGCGAAACTCGACGCATTCGGGGTGCTTGCCGTTCTCCTCGGGGCATCCTGCCCAGGCGTCCATGATCTCATAGGTCTTGGCGTTGTTTTGCGCAACAATGAAGCCAGTGTTGAGCATGAGCTTGCCAAACTTGTCCTTGTTGTACTCGCGGTTGGGGTCGACGGCCAGGGCGAGGGAGTTGTTGCTAGGGTTCAGGTCCCAGTAGTTCAGAAGCCACTCGAAGGGGAGGTCGAGGTTCTGGAATATGGCGTCGGAGTCGAGATACAGGCAAACCTTGTGCTGCTTGAGGATGGTGGAGATGACGGGGGCCTTCTTCCAAGATGCGCGACGGTCCTCGGGCTTCTCAATGGCGACAAAGTAGTACTTGTAACCGTGGATCTTGGCTGCAGGTGGTCACGTTAGTTTGGCTGCAATGATTCTGCGAGAGTGGAATTGAGGGAGCGTACCATAAAGCCAGTGATTGAGCACGCCGACAGACAGGCCGTGAACCTTTTCGGGGTTCTTCTCCCAGCTCATGACATCGGGTCCAAAGATCTGGTGAGGCGCATCAAAAGGGCGGTTGTCGAGGTCGATGATGCAGAGATCATTGCCGAGGGGCTCCGGGAAGTGAATATCGTGCTTGAGATCGAACTTGAAGGCGCCATAAGGCTGGTAGAATTTGGAGTCGGGCTTGATGGAAGGCTTGTGGACCTCGAACCAGACATCGCGGAAGCTGGTGTCAGGCTTGACAGGCTCAACGGGCTCGACGGGTTCGACGGGCTTCACCGGCTCGACAGGTTTGACTGGTTCGGATGGCGGAGGCACTGAGCCGGAGTTTGTATTTGGCTGCGTCCTAGAAGCGCAAGTTGCGTTAGCCATACGCTATCCTGGACAGGGACCACGATGCGATCTGTCACCACATCATCACGTACCTGTTGGGCAATTCAGCCGAGTCCAGCTGGTTGTAGACGAGGCCGGCAAAGACAATGATGAAGATGATGGCGCCGGCCAACAGGGCCGACAGCTTGGAAGATCGAACACCGCCGACAAACATTATCGCTGCATGCTCCGCCGATGGAATGCGGATACAGAAGGACAAAGACAGGCCTTTGTTTGTAGGAGGCGCAAGAGGGAGGAGAAAAAAAAGAGGGCAGAGGGAGGAACTGAGGGAGTGGATCCTGGCGAACGATGGATTTGATCCGCGTGCCCACCGAAACGAGACACGGGGGTTGCAGCGTATCGTAGAAGAAAAGGAGAGAGAGGTGGGATGAAGCGCAAAATCAATCAACAAGAAAAGAACAAGAAGCAGGGAAATGAAGAAGGAAGAAAAGAGAATAAAGAGCTGGCGACAAACCAGCAAAAAAAAAAAAGAGAAGAAACCCCAAGATTGGCTTGGCGTAGCGGCGCGTTGTGGCGAAGCACAGACAAGAGAGACAAGAGAAGACAAGAGACTGGTACTGGACAGAGACAGACGCAGACAGACAGCAGAAAAAGAAGCACAATATTGGATGGATTTGGATTTGGATTGGCGGAACGGGGGAAAAGGGGCAGAAAGAAACTGGAGACGTTATCGGGTACGTACCCTCAGCGCCCAGCTCCGGGTATCTGCTAACAGCACACGATGCCCGTCGCTAGCAAGGCAGCGCCAGACTCGGGGGCTTGGCGTTGACGGGGGAATTCCTCGAATCTCGCTGCAATCCCGCTGTATGTACATACAAGTACGAGCCGCGACTAGCTTCCAGGTTTTTAGTTTTTGCCTGGTTTCTGGCCACTCATCACTAATGGAGGCGGCTGAATGGGGGGAGGTGGGAGGCTAGCAGGGGAGACAAAATAAAAGCAACGGATGGATTGGATACTTTGGGAGGATTGGCGCCAAGTTGCCTTTATTTGATGAGTAAGATGCGTTATTGTTTCAGCTTTGCATCTCGTCTTTTCCTCTTCGTCTTACTGCACATTTCATAGTGGGTGTCGCGGTCTGGTTGAAGTAATAAGACGCTACGGGAATAAAGAAAGACTCGAGAATCAAAATACGAGCAACTGCCGTTGGCATTGCCCCAAGCTGACAATCTACACACACCTAGTATTCACTCTCCTACTGCGTATTACACATGTACATAACTGCACGATCGATCGCAGTGTTAGTTTGCTCGTATTAAATTGTTCCGGTCCTCATCCGCCAAATCGGCTCCCTCTCCTGGCTGCGTCGGACATCGGCGCCGTGCCGCGTAACCGCATACAAACGCAAAGAACCTCGCAAGAGAAATTGCAGGACACTGACAATCTTCACATGATTGAACTTGAACACACAACTACGGCGAGGCATAAAGTACAGATGACGTTGGAAAACTCTAATATCCAGCAAATGTAAACAAAACCAGCATCTACACTCCCAGAAAGGAAAACGTCGCGGCTCGCCACAAGTTGCATCGAGTAAGTCTCCTCGCTAGCTTCAAGTATATCTCAGCCCGCTGGGGCCTTGACAGAACAGAAACAACTTGCGACACTTGATCAATGTCTGCATTCGGCAGTAATGTCTACTTCACAGACGTTTTCTTCCATCAGCTGGATAGGTAGTGAATAAAAATTGCAAAAAGAAGGAAAAAAGAAAATCAAATGCGTGAACTGGGAATCGAACCCAGGGCTCCCCGACGTTGCTCGGATGGCAACGGAGAATTTTACCACTAAACCATTCACGCTACTCTTTCCGATGTCAACTCTGTCAATTGTTTGTCTCTATAATCCTCGGCCATGTGAAACTGTCACCCTCTGGCACCAATCGCGCCCATGAGCGACTTGGTAATCGCAGAGACTCGTCTCCATCACGATGCTGATCAAGCCCGCAATGCAAATGCCTCCGCTGTCACTTACCGTTGTAGCGCTAAGACTAAACTCGCGCTCCTCGGCCGGCACGTTTTCCATGATCTCGGCGAAGCAGTTGACATAGACGGCCCCGCCCAGTAGGCCCTCCCAAAAGATGACGATGAGTACGATGTAGACGGAGGGAATGAAGAAGAAGACGGCATGCAGCGTTAGAAGAATCAAGTTTCCAACTTGGAGAAGGGATGGGAGGTATAAGTGGTGGATACGGATAAAGGATGTGGACGACCGCGAGATGAAGACGCCGACTTGATATAGAAACCCATAGAACGGGTAGAATTCACGAAACTCTTTGAATGGCGATGATTCGAGTGGGAAGAGCAGCGTTGGCGAGACGCCTTGGTTGATGGTATACTCGGCGACGTATACCAGCAGCAAGGGAGCCATGTACGGTATGAAGAGAGCCTTGGCTCGCCGCATGTTGTTGCGCAGAGAATTCGCCTCGCCCCGGGTCATGGCATACGCAGTGTTTGCTGATAGGACAGACGGCTCAGGCACAAGAAGAGCAGAAGTGCTAGCTGCAATCTCGTGTTCCGTCTGGTCCGCATCTTCGTCCTCTACGTCTCTTTCCGGAACAGCATCATATTCCTTCAGAGCGCTGCCTTGGCGCAGCGGGTCCAGTGGAAGGACAAAGAAGAAGCTGACGAACATGATGGCAGGTAGGCAAGCCGAGAACAGCAAGCTCTGCTGGACAGTAAACCCCCACCAATCAGTCAACAGCACATATAATCCCGCCCCGACCAGACCGGCTGCACCAGTGCCAGATCCCCAGCCGGCCAAGCTCACATGCCCGTAGTAATGCGTCAGTCCCAAGAAACTGAGCTCGCCCCCACCACTGCTCAAGCTGGCCAAGATGACTCCCACCATCTTTACTGCCACAGACTTGGACGGAGGCGTAAGGGCAATCATCAGCATGCCACCCGCAGATAGCGCGATGAAAATGAGGACTCGTATCGGATATGGTATGCGATGGATAAAGTATGGAGCAATGAGCTTGGTGAAGAAGGAGGGAACGACATCGGCGAGGAGGACGACGCCTTTCGGAAGCGATCCGACGAGGTCTTGGGCGGCCGAGAGGATGATTACGTAGAGCACATTGTTAATGAGGCCTGTCAAGGGGGATAACGGTTAGCTGAATATCATTACCATTAGAAAAGCTCAGAGCTTGACAGGATGCGCACCAAGTAACCAAAAGGCGACGATGACCCTCATGTTGGGATGCTTTACCAAGCTCTTCAGCCTGGCGCTGTAGACAGCCCAGGAGGACGACGGAGCGCCGGGCATGGGGAGAAGCCCGGACGCGGACGGGGAGCGGCTTGGCATTCTATACTTGACTTGACCGAAAGACCATCACTAAGAGAAGAGCATTGTTGTGTTAGAGCTTGGAGGTTGTTGATGGAAGAATAGCTGACATGGGCCACGCGAGGTTGGAGGCCATACAGAGCACTGTAGGAGGAGATAACAGTCGCGATAAGGAGCTCTGGAGCGCTATGACGCAGCCACTTCTCCGAGAACACATAAAAGGCCCATCACATGTGCCATCCATTTATGTTCCTATCATAAAAACCACGAAAATACTATACAATCTTATTCCTAACTTACACGCATCAATTATTCGTCTTCATGGATTCTGGACGTGTATCCTTCCGTCTCCCGACTCGCCTGCGTCACACTCTCAGGCGCAATCCAGCCCTCTGCAGAGATGCTATCCGGCACACTCTCGGGCGTATAATAATCACTTCCCTTGTACTTTGATCCTCCGACCCCCGGCGGATTTCTTCCAACGTTTGCCCTGGACGCGGCTTGTCCTTGAGCGGCAATGTCGCCGCTGTTGCCCAGGCTCCGTTGGGCATCTGCGCCTACAACATCGGCGTCGTTTTGGCCGCCCTGTTGGCGATATGACTCGGAGATCTTGTCACCAGGACCTCCTTGGCCTTCGTACTGATTTCCGGTAGCTTGTCTGTTGGAGTATCTTAGTAAATGCCCATTCTCACTACCAAGTGCCGACGTGACTAAGGGGTCGATGGGGACTCACCTCCCACGAGCATCAACGTCTCCTCCCTCACCAGGAGGAATACGTTTGTTGTAGCCCCTGTTTGTACTCAAATCTTCTCCATAGGTGACATTGGCTGAATCAAATTTCTTTTCCACGTAAGAGTTGACGCCGGCATCGTCATCAGCCTGTGGACGAGCATTGCCAGTCTTGGCCTGGTAGGTATTGAGATCAGCCTCGGCACGGCGCGAAATCTCTTCGTAGTTGGACATTTTGATATGCGTAAAGTCTTGTAGTGGAATTGTTCAAGTTTGAAAGGCTGTTAGTTTTTTGTGAGGATTGGTTTCTGATTGAATCGTTGAAGATGGCAGTATTTATACAGTATTTACGTATGCTCTAGACGATGGCTCCTCGATGACCTCAGAGCAACGGTATATGATTTCATGACACCGCATGACGGAGAACAAATGTGGGCCAGAAAGTCTGATTACAGCAAACACGGACTCGAAATCGAGATCCTTTCTCAAGATGAAATTTGCAATAAAAGTGATATGCTGCTATGAGCATTTGCTACTTGCAGCATAGATAAGCCTGGCTTGCCTTGTAGGTAGCCTGTAGGTGTTGGAGGACGAAAATGACATCAGATGGTGAATATCTTCACGTACAGCTCTCCCAACATGCATCAATTCAACCACCAAAATAGTATAGTATTAAGTTACATTGATATAAATGTCAATGCCTATTATTCCGCAGAAATCCCCAGCAAGTGATTGATCCTATTCCCAATCCTCCATATCAGTCCGGCAAATTCTCGGCCCAAACACCAAGATTTCGCAATCGCAAAGTTGCGATGCTCTTTTGCGCCGCCATCCAAAAATCATTAATCTATAATCCAACCACAATTCCGCTTTTTCATAACCTCAACCTGAAACAAATCGCAATCCAATCACCTCATCCCATCCAGACTCCCACCACCATCATCAACCATGGCAGAAGACGCCTGTCCCGTCGACCACAAAACCCGCGACGCCTGGCTCGCCCACGCCCGCGCCGCCGAAGCCTCCAAGCAATCACAAACCCAACCTCAATCCCAATCCCAAAGCGAAGCATCCAAATGCCCCGTCGATCACTCCGCCAGGAACCCTTCCTCTTCCTCATGGACCCAGACAATCTCCTCCTACATCTGGTCCTCTCCCTCCCCCGCCACAGATCACCTCCCCGCAAACCACCCCGCGATACCTTCAACAACGGCACCATCAAACCTCGAAACCTCCCGCGTCACGTCCACCATCCCCCGCTCCTTTACAAACCCAGATGAATGCCCCGTCGACCACGGCGCTTCCGCAAACCCCTCCAATGCAGAAATCGAGTCCGGCGCAGACGCTTCAGGCAACTGGGTCTACCCCTCAGAGAAGATGTTCTTCGAAGCCATGAAGCGCAAGGGCTACGATGCGCGCGAAGTAGACATGAAGACCGTCGTGCCCATCCACAACGCCGTCAACGAGCGCGCATGGCAGCATATCAAAGAATGGGAAGCTCCCTACTTGACCGACTCAAAGTATGTTTTCCTCTTCCATCCACATCTCCAGCTACAATCCTCCTTCAAAACACCAATAACTAATTGAAGAAAACCACAGATGCGACGGCCCCAGACTCTCCTCCTTCGCCAACAAAAGCACCCGCATGACCCCAACCGCCCGCATCAACACCATCCTCGGCTACACCGCGCCCTTTGACCGCCACGACTGGGTCATCGACCGCTGCGGCACCCGCGTCGACTATGTCATCGATTTCTACGCTGGAAGACCCGGCGGCACGGCTGGAGCCCCGAGCTTCTATCTCGATGTCAGGCCCAAGCTGAATACCTTGGAGGGAGTCAAGATGCGGGTCATGAGGTGGACGGGATTGGCGTGAGAGTGCAGCTTTGGGAGAAAAGAGATGGATGAAAATGAATGTATAATATGATTTACGTGTGGCATAGAAAAATGGCGTTTTGCTGGGCTGATAATGATGTGTTGTGTGGGAATACGCATATAAAGATAGACAGAGCTAGAGGGGGGCTCTTTGTACGATACACATCTCCTGTACGATATGAGAGTGGTTTCTTGAGTCATTTATTGCGTCAATTCATGGCATCATTTCGATGATGCCTCTACTGGTGGGTACCTATTGTACAGCAGTGCTACCCAGCAAATCCTATCCCTCATCCGTGGGCAGCAGAATATCTACCCATCTACAAGTCCTTTGCTCGCCTCTTCCGTATCTGCAAGCGGACAGGAGCCTTGGTCTCCAAAGCCTGCGTCTCAAGACTCCACCCCTTCTGCACCAACTCATCCCAGAGCTTTGGGCTGTTGAACTGTGGCACAAACGCGCTGTCTCTGTCCTTGCCGGCAATGCTAAACTTTCTGCCGTTGCCTTCGACGCCAGCATCGCAGAAAAGCTCATCCAGTTTCTGCGTGTAGACACCACCATCTTCCATTAGCCATGCGATTTCCATCGCGGCAAACCACGCGCGTATGGCATCGTTTGGCTGGGCGCCCTCCCAGAGGAGCATCTTGATGGGGGTGAGACGGCCGGGAACGCGAGAGCAAATGAACCGGGTATGCTTGAGGCCATCGACAATGATGAGCTTGTCATGTGAATCGGAGCAGCTCATGGCGTGGCCGTAGCTCTCGGCGAATTCGAGATGGACTACCTTGCTTCCACGGTTGTTGCGGATGATGGGACTCCAGAAGACGATGCTCTCTCTTTCTGCGACTTGCTCGGGGGATAGAACAACGCCGCTCTTGAGGTATTCACTAAATAGGATCGTCGCTCGTTGTCGGTTGATTGTAGCCATGCAAACACTGCGAACACCAAGATAGTTTGTACCAAGATGGGCAAGCACGAGGAGAATCATCAAGAACACAACACTTGAATGATCCTCAATCGCCTTCACCACCAACGTTCCCACAAGCAGGCCGATCAAGCCCACGGCTGTCTCCTGGCTAGCCTCCTTTGCATTGAGTTCAGCGAGATTGTCTTGCTTGGCAAAGTGCACACTCAGAGCTGCCTTGCTGGCACCAGCAGCAACGCCGCACAACGCTCGAAGTGCCTGACCAGTACTGAGCGCGATAACCTTGCCCCAGGAGCCGAGAAACGGACTATAGAGCTCCAGAAAGAAGGCACTGTCGTTGAAAAGATCGGCTAGGAACCGGTATCGCTTGGCGTCTGGTTCGATTCGAAGGCCAAAGCGGTGGGCAAACACAATCGTCGCAATGCGAGACGTGGTATCCTTGAGGATGGTGAGAAGAAGCGCAAACGTGGCCGAAGACGACGCATCCCCAACGCCGAGACCTTTGAGCAGGGCACGATTGGCAAGAAGAGAGCTGATGGTTGAAAAGAAGGCCTGGAGGGAATCAAACATTTGATACGCGAGGTAGTCCTTGGAGACGGAGTGTGGGAATCCAACTGGGAGAAACGAGTCGAACAAGGCCTTGCGCCATTCCCGAATAGAGCGGTAGAAGATGCCGTTGGATCTGTTCTTGAGCTGGACCTATATCACTGTTAGAACCTGATATTCAGCAGAGGTAGGAGGAGATGCTCACTGGCAAGATGTGGCCATCGTGGGCGTGAAGCCACTGCTGCTGCACATGGCCAGATCTGTCGAGCTCTACAATGTCGACATCGTTGCCCCAGGCCAGAATATCCGTGATTTTCTCTGCTGGTTCATCGTGAGGTTCGTCATGGATCGCCATCGTGGGCGTGCCGAAACAGTCACCTTCAAATCAAAGGTGCAGCGGCGAAAGCGATGAGTGCAGGTGTTGCAAACATAGGATGAGATGTGCGCGCAAAAGAACAAAACCAACAATGAGGAAATAAGAGAATGGAATCAGAGAAGGGCCCTATTCAATCTAGGAACGGATGCGCAGTGAATTTCGGTCGCGGTTTGCGGTGAATGGTGCAAAAGGGAAGTTGACAACAGAAGGTCGAAGTGAATGTGTCGGGTAGATGAAGTAACAGGTGGCAGAACCAACTTGGCCAGCAGCTATTTTGGCACAACAGCTGGCAGGTCACCTACAGCAGAAAATAAAACAGACCAGTATAAAAATGCATGAGATGCTGCTTCTTCAATCCATCTATTGATATATTAAACTTTTGGTATAAATTCTTTTTGCCATGTGCATTTACGGCTTGTATCCCAACAAACGCCAGATTCTATTGCCTCCCGTCTATCGCTTCACAGGCGTCCCATCCTCAGCAACCAGGAACTCGTCCGTCTTGAGAGGGCCCTCGCCAACACCCGTCATGATGACTCTGCTGACGCCCTCCTTGATAGTGCCTGCGATGCCCTCATCCAGCTTGACGCTGGCGTTGACGACGCTTCCATCTTTCCAGCCCTCGGCGGCGGCCAAGATCGGCGCAAAGGCACCCAGCACCGTCGCCGCATCCTCCTCCTGGTAGTAGACGACGCAGTTGGGGCCGGCATCAAAGGTATAGGCAGCGACAGTCTTGCCAGCCTGGGCATTGATGGCCTCGACTGCGCGAATGGCGGCCTTGGACACATCGTTCATGTAAAAGATGGGCGGGTAGGTGTCGGCGCAGGTGGCGTGGAACGAGTTGGAGTCGCGCATGGTGACCTCGGCGAACTGGGGGAAGTTGCGGTTCTTGATGGCATCCTCCATCAGGGCCATGTTGGCGGGCACGATGGTGGATATCCTCTGCTGGAACAGGCCCGAGGTCGCGACGGTCTGCTGCATGCCCGAGGTGGACGAGACGCCCTTCTTGGAGGCGCTGACAACTAGAATCAGCGCGCGCATGCCCGGCCAGTGAGAGGCGGGGGCAACCAGGTCAGCCTTGGAGTCGCTGCCATCCTCCTTTTCACCCATTCTCCAGGCGACGTAGCCGCCGAACAAGCTGCGGCAGGCAGAGCCGGAGCCCTGGCGAGCAACAAGGGACAGCTCTGAGGGAGAGTCGGGCAGCTCGTAGAGGTTGGCAATGGCCTGGACAAGGGCAGCAAAACCAGCGGCGGACGAAGCCAGACCAGCAGCCGTGGGGAAGTTGTTCTCGGAGACAATCTTCAGGGGGAAGGTCGACAGCTTGGGCAGCGCAGCGTTGGCGGACTCGAGGGCAGCTCGGCGGGCGCGCAGCTCACGGAAGCAGGCCTGGGTTCGGGCGCCAGAGACGTCGGAGGGCTCGCCATTGAGCAGCAGACTGTCGTCGCCGGTGTAGGTGGAGGAGCAGGAGGCAGTCGTGAGGGTGCGGAGATCGCTCTGGGACAGCGTCACGGAGAGGGAGCTGTTGGTGGGGAGGTTGAGCTTTGCGTCGCGTTTGCCCCAGTACCTGGAGGGAGAAGGATGATGGTTAGTAATTGATTCCCTGGCCTGATTTCCCTTGCGTATCCGTTCATCGGGGCGCAATGGCTCGACATACTTGACAACGGCAATGTTGACGGGGGCGGTGGTGCTTGCGCGGTAGACTTTTGTGTCTGCCATGGCGATGGTTTGGTGGGATGGACGACGAAATGGGCGGATTGTATATCTGATTCCCCCCTTTGGTGATCTAGGTGAAGAGAGGTATCACTGGCTCAAGCAATGGCTGACAGAATAAAGAGAGGACAAGAGAAGAGGTTTGATATAGGGATGGTGCTCTGTAGTCTGTCGAGGAAAATGATGGTTGGGCGCAAAGGCAAAATGTCACCCGGACTTTTACACCGCCCAACTGCCACCACTAAAAGCACGACTAAGACAGATTGTAATTGTACTAGTACCTGGCCTGGCCACTCTATCGGCGCCAATTTTAAATCCAATCTCATTGCCTCTGGATCCATCCCATTCATTCATTATCTTTTGATCCCCTTGAAGCTAGAGCCAAAATGTGAACGAACAGACGCTCGTTTTCGGCTCGTGGGCGCGGGGCTGCTGCTAAAACCCCCACCATACGAGGGTTGCATGAAGGATACGAACACGAGAGCCTTGCTTACTGCAGCCTGCTGGTAGATTATAAGTTTTTGCATTGCATTGCAGTTCATCTCATCTCATCCTGTCAGACGGAATGCGCCAGATTCGATTCGATTTCGCACATGCTGTCTGTACATCTCGCATTTGCCTGATGCATCCGGATAAGGCTATTATGTATTTGTCCGCCTCGGCGAGATGTGTGGCGAGCTGGACCGGCAACCAGCTGTTATCGATGCGTGACACGACGCTGCATGGCTTGGTAGGAGCTGGCTCGTAAGAATGATGCATCAAGAGCGAGATTCATCAAAAATGACGATTCTTCTAATCGAACCAACCGGATTTGATAGAGAGAATGCAGTACAAGATTCCCATCCAAGTCGGATGTCCACCCACGCCTCATGGCTGCTAAATTACCACATTAGGCAATTCCACAAGGTACGGCGAAACTTGTCCGCTTACAGTATGCCCCAGTCTTCACGTCAAATTTCATGACCAAATATTGCCTACTATGGCCATCTTCACGTCGCTACGTTTACCTGGTACGAGAGCTATTAATCAGCATTGAGAAGAGACACCGTTTCAAGAATGGAGCATTCAAAATGTATCGTCGGCTGAGAGTCTTGTCCGCTCTCCGCCTTTCTCATCCTCGATTGTTACCATGTCAGAAAGCAAGATTTCCATGTCAAGAAGATTGTACCAAAACATGCAAAGACATGGCAGAAGCTTGGAAAGTGATGGGTTCCCGTATACAAATTGTTTGTCAAAAGACTACAGTGGAATAAACATCTGCATTGACGTATTTGTAGGCGATGTGCATCAATAACACGCTCGCACGGCAGTAAATGTGATTCCTCCCTTAAAACCTTCATTCTCACGAACGAGTACAACCCAAGACAAATTTTACTTCTCAAAGACTCGTCAAAATCTAGTCGCTTGGTGGCAGATTCACGGAATTATACAATAAATGTCACTAATGAAGAAGTAATATTTTCAAGACAATTCTATTCAGACAAAGCCGATGTTAGGGTATCTTCCAACCAATTTCGTGTCTCAATCCCATATAAACATAAAACAACTCCAAAATCAGTCGGGTATCGCCGCCAAATGTTGTTCCAAACGTCATAACTCATAACAGTCCATCGCCGCCAATGGCTTCAAAAGGCAATCAAATCATCCCCCTCAAACGCCGGCTCAATCTCGTACGGCTCCTCATCTTCCTCCGATTCCTCTTCAGACTCCTCCCCAGAAAAGTCGCTCTCCAAAGGAGGCACCTTCTCTTCCCCAGGAGCCCAACGCCCAGGCCCATCCCACATATCATCTATGAGCGCCTGCTCCGATTCCGCAAAGTCAGCCCGGTGGAGGATGTTCTCATCTTCTCCGATGGGCACAAGGACGAGTTTCGCCATGGACTCCTTGACGAGGTCAAGGTTGGAGAGGTCGAGGGACTGAAACTGTAGTGAAATGATTTTGTTATTCCACTCGTCCACATGTGCTGCTTCTGCTCGGTCCGTGGCAGCGACGACTATGCCCCTCTCCATGATTGGCTTCACCCACTCTAGGAATTCCACGAATCTTTGCCTCTGGCGCTCGGTCCAGTTGCAATGGTAGCCCTTGTCTTGGACCCAGAGCCAGGTATCGAGAGGGTCGCAGTCCACGTCCCAGACGTAGGCGGCGCTTAGACGCTCAAGATTGCAGGGCTGTTCCACGGTGATATTCCACAGTTGGTCAGCCAATTGCTCGTCTCCAGCTTCCTCTGCGTCCGCGATGAGGGTGCGGTGGTGACGGCGGACGTGGTGGTTCACGGCGTATTTAAACTTGACCTCGTTGTAGATTTCGCCGAGGGCAGGGAGGTTGCTGCCGTAGTAGTCTCTGCGCCAGGGGGGGTTGTCATGGGCTGTCTCGTCTCTGTAGATCTCAAAGTCGACATCTTTTTCGGCCAATTTTCTGCGTGGACCGAGACGATACTTTGTGGATGTCGAGAGTGGCTGGCGAGTGGTGCGTTTGCGAGGACGGGGCTGAGACTGGGGAGTGTCCTCGTCGACATCTTCGTTTTCTTTGTCGTCGCCTCCCAAAGACATTTCAGAGTCGGACTCTTCTGCCCATTTATCGAATGAGGCGAGAACGTCTCGACTGTCCATGACCATGCCGGTATCTCCGGTGACCTCACGGTCCATATTCATGGTATAAAAGACGGCAGACATGATGTCGGTGGGTAGATGGATGATAGTGAGTGTATAATAGTGGGTCGGAGAGTGAACGAATGGATGATGTGAGAGAAATGGGGTAGAAATGATGGCCCGTAAGTAGAGAAGAGAGAGTTGACTTTGAAGCCGTAAAGGAATAGAATATAGAATGATAGTAAGATGTGTGTATGTGTATAAGAGAAGGATGTAGCCAGTGATATGAAGCACAAAGTAGAATTTGGTGACCAAAAGCTGATAAGAAGCTGTGCGTGCTGGACTGACTGACTCGAAGAAGCTGTAGATGGAAAAGAAAGAAAGGAGAGGAGGGATGGGAACCATTAAATAGTTTTTGGAACGAGGTGATTGTTTGTGGCATTGTTTACAAAAGCATATAAAGTATAGGATTCGGTTCTCAAGGCATAGATAAAGTCTTTATTGGCGAGATATGGACCCCTTGTGGGCCACATGGACTCATAAACAAGAAGATACAGTGAAGAGAAATGTTTAAAAACATCGATGTCGGGCACATTCATAAAGTCAAACGTGTTGCCATATCAACAGACAAGAAATTTCGTCCTAATCGACGCCATCATCCCCGATCTCCTCCCACATGGCCCCAGTCCCAAAGGCAGTTGTAAACCTACGAGCCATGTTGTGATCCTTGATAGCAAAAACTACCTCCATATCATCATAAACTTCCACTCGCTCCGATCTCTTGGCCCGCGGCCCCAGCAACACCCTCCTCCACGACCGAGCAATCTCGTCGACTGGGTTTCCATATGCGCCACAGCCCCAAGCCCCTAGGACGACGCGTTCGATGTGACGAGATCGCAAGATACGCATTACACAACGCATATTGGCCAAAACCATATCTCTGTCTTTTTGTTCTGAATACGTAAGCTCTCCTTGCTGATTCGTCTCAACCTCTGGCAGACGTAGCATGGCTGCTGTGATGACATCGATGAAGAACTGATCTGCTGGTTTGAGATCAGATGGTTCTGCGTCCCACGTCTTGCAGACGAGGACATCGGGTGTGTAGATGGCGCCTATTTCAGGGAGACGGTAGAAATCTTCGTGGAGAGATGGATATAGAGTAGTTCTCGCGCATAGCCATTCTTCTTGTGATGTGGCCCCGGTTAGGACACCGCCGCCGGGACGAAGGGGAGAAGCCATGTTGAGGACGGCAATTCGGGATGGACCAGATTTAGACAGTCTTGAAGCAGCTTCTAGCGTATCGACGGGCCAGATTCGTATGTAATTGAGAGATTTCTGAGATATTGGAGCTGAGTCATTATCGTCTGTTTGCTTGGTAGACTCTGAGTTTGTAGTTGCTGCTGCTGGTGCAATGGCCTCCCTTGGAATTATTCGAGGTGGATCTATTATCAATTGAACGCTTTCAATGCCCTTTCTCGCTCTTGCATTCGACTTTAATATGGAAGGCACCTTTTTGTTGAGAAACAGCTTGGCCGCCTTGGCTCGTTCATCTCTAGACGAGCTCATGGCTGGGAGTGTAACTCGATAGATAACACCTCAACCACCTAAACTGAGTTTGTTTATACAAATAAACGTCCTGGCTTAATTGGGTTTCGCACGTTGACTCATCTATCAGAGTAAACAATGGCTTGAATGTTGTGATCGTCAGGGCAACTCCAAAGCTTCAGGCAGCCCCAGTTCGTTGAAGGTGCCTGAAACTAGCGGTTGAAACCTCAAATCTCACTGAAGCCTCCAGCTTTGCTTTAGGCGCAAGACTAAGACTCGATTGGCCGCTGCTTTTATGGAAGCACCACAAATGATCGTCGCAATCATCTCGTGACGTCATGGCTAGGTATGGAAGCAAGTTTCGTCCATCATCATTTAAATGACTGCAACGCAATACAATAAAAAATCTCCAAGATGAAAGAAAACTTCTCGATACTTTATTAATTGAAAAGCTACATCTCAGCGTAAGACAAATGCGCGTTCGGTAGCACAACACAATGTTGGCTTCATGTACCGGCGCGAGAGCCGTGTCCCGCACCCTGCCGCTGGTTTCCAGGGGACAAAGACAGAGATCGCTGCAGTTGCTCAGCCGGACGAGCCTTCAGTACAGATACCAATTCCCCGCGAGACAGTTTACGGCGTCTCAGAGCGTCCGTGAAGACGAGGCGACGGAAAAGGCGAAGCGATTACATGAAAAAAGCGACGAGCTAGAACACCATACAACCAAGCGCCATGGGTTACAGAAACAGGCAGACGATCGACCCTGGCATCGGCTGAGTGGGAGCAAGCAATACAAAGAAACATCACCAAATCCCTCTAGAGGGGACGATTCAAAGGGTACGTCAATGTCGGCATCAAGGTTGGTCGGCTTGGAACTAACACATCGAGATTGTAGGACGACTGCTTACGACACCAACCCGTTTGCTGAAGCTCATTTTACCCATGCCGTTCCACCCCGACCAAGATACCATAAACGAGGTCGAGGAGGGAACCCACAAAGACAACGGTAAACGGATAGAACCTTTGGCGCTTCTGGTACACCCCCAGCAGCCGCTATCTTACCTCGAACGACTTATACAGGCCGAGATTCCCCCATTGCAGGTCAATGGTCGCGAAAGGCTGCCCGACATCGTTTTCCGGGCCGAAGCCGACCACGAAGAATCTCCAGGGAGATCGGGGGAAGACTCCGGCAAAAGCAACGTGGCGTCGTATTCGGGCCTAGGTCGCGAGGCCCCTACAAAGGACGAAGAGGCGAACTGGGTTCGATGGAGCGGCAGCACGGAAGTTGGGGATTTCATCCGAGACGCGGCTCGCGGGCGAGAGTTTGCCATTAACATTGAGGGATTCAGCAAGGAGCTGCGGGTGGCTGTGCCCAGCTTCAAGGATCGGACGCATTACATGAGACTGCAGCTGCGGCGGATGTCGAGGAGTATCGATCAAATGGCCAAGATCAAGTCGGAATGCGATCTATTGGCGCACAAGGGAGCCCATCGTCTGGCACAGGGAGGTTTCGCAGCGCTGGCCGGGTGGTGGGGTGTCGTCTACTACGTGACTTTTCATACCGATTTCGGATGGGATCTGGTAGAGCCCATCACGTACTTGGCCGGGCTGGCGACCATCATGGGCGGATACCTGTGGTTCCTCTTCATCAGCCGGGATCTGAGCTACAAGGCGGCGATGAATGTGACCGTGTCAAGACGGCAGCATGCGCTGTATCAGGAGCGAGGATTCGATCCGCAGAAGTGGGAGCACCTGGTGCACGAGGCCAATGCTCTGCGACGAGAGATTAAAGCGGTGGCGACGGAGTACGATGTTGACTGGGACGAGATGAAGGATCTTGGGGGACAAAGCGTCAAGAAGATTTTGGAAAGGGAGAAGAACGGCAAGAAGAATAAGGAGGATATCGACGAGGAGGCGGATGAAGAAGCTAATGAAGGGGTACAGATGGAGAAGAAGGGCAAGGAGGAGCAGGATGGGCACAAGAAGGAATGATTTGATGAGGAATGTATTACAGCATCTTGTATTGTTAGCATTGATCATGGCGCCGGTAGCGTCGAAGTATGTGTATGCATGTGTTTGATTGTCGGATGAGGCGTGGTAAGAGCAGGCGAGCAACTGATTCAAGCAATTGAATTGAACAATTCATGAGATGAAAGATTCATAATCCCATAGTAAAGGCAACACGCATGTGCTGTGCTCCTCCACTAACAAAACCAGGCTCAAAGGGCTGACTGTCGTCGATATCGTCGGGTCAGATCATCGGCGATGCGATCCGCTGAACCGAGCCGCCTCGCCCTACCGTTCAATAGCTGGAGATTATTTTTTTTTAGCGTTGCCACAATGAGCTGTCACATCGTGTTAGTGAGGATGAACCGTGACCCTATTGGGGGGGGAGTTGGTGTGCAGAAGGGAATCTTGGCTTGGTCAGGCCATGATGTTTGTTCTCAAGTGGCGGCATGGGACGAGACGAGCAGGGAGGATGAAGCTTCATGATTTTTGTTTTTTGTTCTTGAAAAATTCCATGCATCCCAGAGAAGAAGAAAAAGAGAGACACAGCACGTGATGGTAGGTTGTTTATTGTCTTTGGCCGGGCTGTTGTTTATTTGATTTACCCCGGTGATACAGGCGCACTGTGGCAAAACCTCCCTCAAACTTACACGCGCATGACCCCATGATATAGATCCGGGGCAGCTCTAGGCCCGCTGTAGCTTCAGCTCTCAGCTCATGTCAACTCTCCAGTTTTAGAGCTTCAACTTTCATCTGCTTTTCTACCCCGCCCCCGCTTGTCTTTTTGCTCTGCTACTCTACTCCACATGCCATCTCGTATATCGTCGGCGATATCAAACCCCTGCATGCTACGATAACCCATCTATATCTTTTTCTTGGTGCTCTTCTATTTCTTGAGCTTCTTCTTCATTACATCTTTGAACATCATCGTCTCCAGCAACCCAATTCCATCATGGCGCCGCAGCTGCTGCATCTGCCAGATGGCCAAACCTTCACCGTCACGCCCGTCTTCGCCGGCCTGGGCTTCAAGAGCCACGAGATGAACATGCACCCCAATGCCTTCCCCATCGGCTGGAACGTCGTCCTGCACACCGAAGAACAAGTCGAATCACCCTTCGCCGCCGACGACGACGCAGCAGAAGATCAGGGCTCGGATCCCTCATCACGGCCGCCCTCGCGTAAGACTCGAGTCCATCCCTTTGTTCGCCCGACGCTGCAAAACGACACCCTCTTCATCTCGTCCATCTCCAACCCGTCCAACTCCGACTTCAAGCCCGCCGCCAGCCCCACGAGGCAGATTGCCATGATGATGTGGGTGACGCTGTACTGGTACTTTCACCAGCCCCAGCCGCTTCCACAGCTGCACACCGAGGCGGCCAAGGACACGCCGGACCATGCGAAACCCAATGGCGAGTGGAGGATCAACATCAAGCGCGAGGGCGTGCTTCGCGGCCGCAACTTGATCCCCAAGCTGGAGCGCATGGGATTGATTGCGGCTGGTGATACTTCATGCGGCACCGGCCTCGACGACGGCGGCGACGAGTGGGCGAGCATGTATGTCTCGAGACGCATGTTCTGGCAGATCCCCGGCCACCTGTTCCTCTTTACGCTGCAGCCAACTCAAAAGGCCAACTCGTCCGTCCCCGGGTCGCCCGTGAATAGCCGTCCGAGCTCTCCCGTGCGAGGCGAGTCCTCCTTCAGCCACTATCTGTCCATAGACGGCCTCACCCGTCTCGATAGCGACCTGCCGGGCGGGCCCATGCCGACCAGCGTTCCTCAGACTCCCGCCGTTCCCATTGGACCCTTTTACTCGACCTCGCATCTCCCGACCTACTTTCCTCCTCCTCCGCTGCAGTACACTTTCACAGACGGCGTTCGACATCCCGTGCGGCCGAAGCCCCATAGAATGGGCGAGATCTTCTACTCGCGCTTCGTCCCCAGTGTTGGCAAATACCTGTCATTCCGCGTCGCCTCCACGTCAACCAAGCCGGTGCCGTATCTGGGCCCCGTGGGAAGCAGTAACAACAACTCCCAGGAGCTCGCGCACTTGGCCGGCATGACGGACGTCCAGCTTCTGCAGATGTGGATGGCGAAGCCCCGCGTCAGCGAGTTCTGGGGCGAATACAAGCCCGGGTTTTTGGAGGGCGTGCTCAAGCTGCGGCACTCGTTCCCCGTCATCGCCTCGTGGGACGGCATCCCCTTTGGCTACTTTGAGATTTACTGGGTCAAGGAAGATATCCTGGGCCGGCACTTGGCGAATGTCGCGGGGGACTTTGACCGCGGCATACACGTCTTTGTTGGTGAGGAGTGGGCTAGGGGGCGGGTGCCGCAGTGGTTGACGAGTCTTGTGCATTGGTGCTTTATTGCTGATAACCGGACCATGAGCGTGTGTCTGGAGCCGCGGGTCGATAACGACAGGTAAGTCGAATCATTGTCTCCTTTATTGAAAGATAATCTCTGACTAATTGCTGGATAGGATGCTACGGCACTTGGACAAGGCGGGTTTTGGCAAGGAGAGGCAGATTTCGTTTCCGCACAAACAGTCGTGGTATGTGAGGCTGTGGCGAGACACGTGGGAGGGGCCAGCGTTTTGAGGAGGAGGAGGAAGAAAAGAAAGAAACTGTTATTGTAGAATGATTCGGGAGTTATGAATGGTACGAAGCATGGCAGGAAATACCCATATGAGCTGTTTTTAAAACTGAAAGATTGATGGCGGAGAGAGAGTAAAGAGTATGAAATTTGTACAAGTAGTAGTTTTTACACTATAAGACGAAAAATGAAAGAAACATCACTTTGTGATTACGGATTCAAATCATTGTTGTTCAATGTTTAGTTCAATCTTATTTCATATGGAAATTGTCCATCCCATATACCAGCCGGAATCAATCAATCAATCAACCCACCCTACGCCTCCCTCAAATGTTGGATATTTTCTAAGGTTATCTTTTTTACAGAAAAAAAAACACACGAAATATAGCAAGACACACAAAAAAAAGCATTCTAGCCGACCCATCTGCGGGCGCTGCGGAACATTCTCAGCCAGGGACCAAACTCGCCCCATTCCTCGATATCCTCAGGAGGAGCATAGCTCGTAATGTCAGCCATAATGGTACGTTCGGGATGCGGCATCATGGCGACGACACGGCCATCGGGACTGGCCACACCGGCGACACCCATCGGGCTGCCGTTGGGGTTATACGGGTACTGCTCCGTGACGTTGCCGCGGTTGTCGACGTAGCGCAGCGGCACCATGCCGGACTCGGTGAGCGTCTGGAGGGAGTTGGGCGAGGCAAACTTGGCGCGACCTTCACCGTGGGAAACGACAATGGGAAGCTCGGAGCCGTTCATGCCGTGGAAGAAGACGGAGGGCTTGGACTTGTCGACGTGGACCTTGACCATGCTGTAGCGGGCCTCGAACTGCTGGCTGGTGTTGTCGACAAAGTTGGGCCAGTCCTGGGCGCCGGGGATGAGCTCCTTGATGCGGGTGAGCATCTGGCAGCCGTTGCACACGCCGAGGGCGAACGTGTCGGGGCGCTTGAAGAAGGCGGCGAATTCCCTGCGCGTGTTGTCGTGCATGAGGATGGACTTGGCCCAGCCCTGGCCGGCGCCGAGGACGTCACCGTACGAGAACCCTCCGGGGGCTGCGAGACCGGTAAAGTCGGCGAGAGAGCGGCCGTCGAGGACGTCTGTCATGTGGACGTCGATGGGCTCGAAGCCGGCAGCCTTGAAGGCGTAGGCTAATTCGGCGTGGCCGTTGACGCCCTGTTCTCTGAGAATGGCAACGCGGGGGATTCTTCCAAAGAAGCCGGTGATGGACGAGGTGATGGGGAGGATGTTTTCGGCGGGTGAATAGGACAGCTTATAAGTGATGCCCGGATCCGCAGAGTCGGAAATGGTGCCAAACTCGGACTCGGCACAGGCAGAGTTGTCTCTGATCTTTTGCATCTCGTACGAGGTCTTGGACCACCACTGCTGCATCTCGGTTCGGTCCAGGGTGGCAAAGGTCATGCCCCCGTGGCGAATGTTCAGGCTCTGCTTGGAGGTCGATCGGACAACACCAAACTTGCGAATTAGGCCGGGCGGAGGCCCGCAGGTAGCGAAGCATCGCTTGAAGTTGATTTCGTCCTCAGTGCGGATCTGGAACACGGCACCAAGCTCTTCGTTGAACATGGCCTCGATGATATCTTCCGGCTTGCCCGACTTGGAGATGCCATCCAGCATCATATCAACGCCGCAGCGGCCGGCGAACATCATCTCAGCAACGGTGGTGATAAGACCACCATCGGATCTGTCGTGGTAAGCCAGGACGACACCGCTTCGGTGAAGCTGAGACAAGGCATCAAAGTAATCCGTGATGAGGTCAAAGTTCTTCATGTCAGGCGCCTTGTCGCCAACGGCACCAAGAGACTGAGCGAGTGCTGAACCGCCCATGGCTCTTCGTCCCTCTGCAAGGTCGACGAACATGAGACTGGTCTCGCCCACGTCCTCCACGCGACGGAGCTGGGGAGTCCAAGTGCTGCGAATGTCACGAACTGCGGAGAAGGCGGAAATGACGACGGAAACTGGTGCCGTGACGTTCTTTGAGTCCTCCTCGTTCTTCCATGATGCCTTCATGGATGTCGAGTCCTTGCCGACGGGGATACTGACTCGGAGCCTGGTGCACATCTCCATGGCCGCTCGGACGGCTTCGTACAATGCTGCTCCCTCACCTGCGTGGTTCACGGCGGCCATCCAGTTGGCAGAGAGCTTCACGCGGCGCAGATCGCCGGCGACATCAGCGGCACCAATGTTCATCAAGCTTTCGGCAATGGCCATTCTTGCAGAGGCTGCCGGGTCAATCATGGCGAGCGTTGGTTTCTCGCCCATAGCCATGGCCTCACCCCCCTTCTGCTTGGTGCCGATATGGAACGACGTAGCTGTCACCGCAACGTCGGCAACCGGTGTCTGCCATGGTCCAACCATCTGATCACGCACGGTGAGACCACCAACGCTTCGATCGCCAATGGTAATCAAGAATGACTTGGAACCAACCGATGGCAGCAAGAAAACACGCTCAACGGCCTTTTTGAAAAGCTCGGCACCGCTGAGTTCTCCATATGCCTTCTGGAGGCTAGAAAAGGCGTTGAAGGGAAGCAGAGTGGGCTTTTTGGAGGCAACATCCCGCTGGAGCAAGCGCTTGGGAGGGAAAAGGGCGTCCATGGGGAGATCGATGGGCCTGGGGTACTCCTTGGACTCTCTGTCTGTGAGGATCAGGCTGGTAGCTCCGTGCTCGTTCTTGGAAATAACAGTTCCGACATCTGAAAATCCGCATCGTTCTCTGCGGCAGATGCTTGTGAAACGGTTCATGCTCTCGGCGTTGATCAGGAGAACGTATCGCTCTTGGGCTTCGTTGCACCAAATCTCCAATGGGCTCATGCTTCGGTCCATGCTTTCCACCTGGCGAAGCTCAAATTTTCCTCCAAATCCAGCGTCCTTGACCACTAGTAATGGTTAGATCTACATTAAGTGTGTAATTGATATTCAGAGACTCACACTCGGGCAGAGCGTTGGACAATCCACCAGCGCCAACATCGTGAATCATGGCAATCGGGTTGTGTTCACCCAAGGCAGTGCAAGTGTTGATGACCATTTGAGCGCGTCGCTCCATCTATGGTATGGTTAGCTGGATTTCAAGCAATTTACAAATCATACAGTGTCATTCGGGCTTACCTCTGGGTTACCGCGCTGGACACTGTCAAAGTCGAGATCGGTGTTGCTCTCTCCACCGGCACTACTGGAGGCAGCACCGCCACCGAGGCCGATGAGCATCGCGGGACCTCCGAGGACAATAACGTGGGCGCCTTCCTGGACATATCGCTCCTCCTTGAGGGCGTGCTGGGGTCGCACAGATCCAAGACCGCCAGCAATCATAATAGGCTTGTGGTAGCCGCGCCAGTTGGCAACGCTTGACACGTCGGGGTCTTCCTGGGATTCTTCGGGTGTCAGGAGAGTTCTAAAGACACCTGCGAGAGCCGGACGTCCGAATTCGTTGTTGAATCGGGCACTGCCGATGGGTGCCTCAAGCATAATGTCCAGACTGCTAGCATAGTGGCGAGGTCGGCCAATGTCGCTCTCCCAAGGGGCGTGGTTGTCGGGGATGAGCAGGTCCGAGACCCAGAAGCCGCTCAAGCCAGCCTTTGTCGTAGAACCTCGCCCAACGGCACCTTCATCTCGAATCTCTCCACCTGAGCCGGTGGCTGCTCCAGGGAAAGGCCTAGTGGCAGCAGAGTCAGTTTCCAGATCATAAAATATCATACAATCAAGATGGATGCCAAGTTCCTCCCGTGTGCTGCAACGATTGTTGACAAGCAGAGAATGCAGATTTATCCCTTGGTAGATAGTAAATGCTACTTGGAAGAACCTACGAGATGGCAGTGGGGTGGTTGTGAGTCTGTTCAATCGAGTCAGAAACCAGCAGGCCAAGAAAAATCAATCAACAGTCAGCAGCCTTACCTCAACCTTGGTGAGGATATGGACGACTTCTGGAGTGAGCTTCCAGGAGCCAGTAGAGTAATCAGGAGCCCAGACGTTGGCGTTGTCGCCTTCAAGGACCGCCGCATTATCGCTGTAAGCCGAGACAGTAAAGTCAGGCGTGGTCTTGTGGGTCGTCTTGATCATCTCAAAGAGACTCTTGTCCTGAGGGACGCCATCAATGGTCCACGCCGAGTTGAAGACCTTGTGCCGGCAGTGTCTGGATACAAATGTGAGCATCCCACTCGAGGGTTAAACAAGGATACACTCATACTCTGAGTTGACCTGAGCAAACATGAAGAGCTCCACATCATGGGGCGGGCGTCCAAGTTTGGTGAAGACGTCAACGAGGTACTGCATCTCGGATTCGTCAAGACTGAGGCCCTTCTTGACATTGTACTCCCTGAGAATCCGAAGAGGGTCCTCCTTGTCCGCGAAGATGTCGACAGCAACCAGAGAAGACGGCGCCTTGGACTCGAACATCTGCACCAAAGACGGCGGCTCAGCAGTCCACAGCTCCGTCATGCGGTCGTAGAGCACATCGCGGAATGTGGCATCCCGGCCCTCGGACAAGGGCTCCTCAAACTGGATAGAGATGCGACGGCCTCGCTCAATGCGCAAGACTCGCTCCCTGAGGCCGCAGACGTGGGCGATGCTGGTGGCCTTGGAGCTCCATGGCGAGATGTAGCGAGGCGTTGCGTAGATCGTCAGGGCGTTTCCGGGACTCTCGGAACCAAGCCCCCAGCCGCGAACGTCCTGCAGCAGCTCCTCAACCTGCTCCAGAGTATCGTGAGACGACACCTGCAGGTTCACATAGTAGATCCATTGGCCCTGGATGTCCTTGACCTTGGAGGGGCTGGACTTGTCGATGAGCTCGCGCAGCTTCTGGGCATCCGAAGGCGTGTAGCACGAGCCTCCAACAAGAACCTCGTACGGCATATCGAAGATTTCTGCTTACTGAGCAGAACAACGCAATGCCATAAGACAAAACTAGAGCTTTTGCTTTTGCTTTTGTACCGGAGGAGACGATGCACCCCAAGCAGAGCAAAAGTTGTGATGAAATTCTGCCCCTCTCTTATCTATCAGTTGAGTCTTGGTGGGGTGAAAATTTTCGGACCGGCAATCGGCCGCTGCTCAGCCAGGAAATGTTGTGTCTGGCTCTGGGGGTACTTGTGCTTTGCCTCTGCTTATGCTCTGAGAGGAGGTACTGTTTTCTCCTCCACTAACACTGAGCTGGACTACCTAATTTTGTTGCCCATGCGTCACGGCAAAGATTCTCCGTAGCGGCAGCATCACGAGAGAAAAAGTTTCTGTTGATTGATCCAACAATATGAGTTATTTCTTAGTTGAACTGAAATTAGTTTGATTGGGCTATTGGTTTTGATTCTATTATTGTACTAGTAATGTACTCGTAATCGTAATTGGTACATGAAATCTATGAAGCGTGTCAATGGTGAGATACTCCCCTCTATCAATCTAATGCATCATCTACTGTACTAGCCTCCAGTTGACGATCATTTTTTCTTGCTCCACAGAAACAGTTGAAGCTATTTTCCCCTTCAGGTTGTTTCACACAACAGTCGTAGTACTACAATGAATGGTTATGTCCATATAATCAGGACATGTTGAGTCAGTGTTCTTTTTATTTCTGGTGTGAATATTTCTGCTCTCTGGGGTTACTCTGCTCGTTCTCTTTCACCCAAAGGCTGCCTCGTACTCTGCCACGCTTCTGGTAGCACCGGCTAGCCCCGGATTGAAACAAAGAGAACAGAGACCAGAATGGAAAAAGAAAGGAATACAGTGAAACAATTCTCATAGTGATTAGTCGTCGCTGGTGACTTTGAGCTGATCGCGAGTTTGCTGTATTGTTCAGTCAGACATCCCACAGCTGACGAGGTTGTGGCTTGCAGCTTCTACACCATGCGCCATCCCATCCATGGATTTTGAGCTTTTTGTAAAATAAAAGTGATTCGCTTGCTCCACAGCCGCCAATCTATGTAGTATACTTATCCTTGGATTAACGAGTCGCTATTCACTCTCCCAATATGGCTATTCAGTTCGCACGGAGTTCAAGCATCGGAACAGGATGCGATGAAAGCCTCTTATTTCCATACTACTAGTAGGAGATGCACTACTCCTTGGGTGTCTGCTACTGTCATATCTTGCTCCTAACTACTGCTACTGTAGCTGTAGTCCTCGAGCGTCTAGTATTATCACCGGCCTTTAGATTAAGACACGGAACGCTGGATAGCAAATCTTGGATGTTGAATAGCCACCCCCTTACATCAACGTAGCAAGATGTGCGCATCCACCAATATCACAGGGTAGGCCCCAGATCAGTCGACTCTTGAGGCACTGATCGAAGTGGCGTCGATATACCGTCAGATTCTACCCATGTTTGCTATAGTGGGGAAGAAGTGCCAATTGTCGAAGCCTTCCAAGATGTAATCGCATCAAAGTCAAACCTATCATATGAAGATTTGAGCCGGCAAAGGCTGGATCTCGCTTGTACCGTGGGAAATAAATGACTCTATAGGCTCCGTGATTCGCATCAGAGATTTAAATACAAGAATTCATGTCACACATTCGCCTGTCAACTAGATTTAACCTCCCTGTTGGCTCTTCGGCCCGAGATCCCGCCAACCACCAGTGTCACTGCCTGGTATTGCTGCCAATGGTGCTAAAAAAACATGACAAATGAGAAGGAAGACATCTTCTCGTTGTTCAAAGATTATTCAGAGTCTAGACGAATCTTGTGACAAGACTTCCCGGCTAGTTGCGAATCCCCCCGCGTTTGCATCTGTAGATCTGTAATTGGCACACCCTTAATTCTCGCGTGATCTGCAATCAGAGGTAGATTGTGTTTCCAACTCGGGACCCTCCGATAGATTAGAAGACCCCTGCCATGGTTACCTTTTCGCAAGAAATCCTCAAAGTTGGAGTGCGTAGATACGTTATTGGCACGACCTTGTTTCGCGGTCCACGTGGATTTTGCGCGAGAGACACGATGACGCCGAGTAAGGGTCTCGATGCTGCCTTGTATGTGTATCAAAGATGCACCAAACTGTCTTACTTGACTAGGTAACAATAGATGATGCGTCAAGCACTCTGGCTCGGGTCAATTCACTTCGGTATCAAAAAGGACTCTCGATTTAGTGTTTGCCCACCCCCCTGGAGCACTCGACACTCCCCGCGTCAAAGTTGCGCCAAGAAGCGAGCAGTGGACAGCTGATGGCAGTTGATCCCGGGAAGGAGGCGGTTTCAATCACTGCTCCCCATTCACTGTTCCCTCAGGCCTTGGAAGTGCCGGTCCTGCTGCTTTGGTGCACCTGTCAGGCATTGATAAAGCCGCCTTGCTGATTCTCCTTCTTGCCTTTGGATTTTCTCTCTCGAATACCGGCAAAGCGTTCACTCTGCACGTTCTTGAACAAAACTCCCTCGAGAGGATCTCTCGTTACCTACAATCTTCACTACACCGCATCAATCTCCAGCGCCTTTGTCTGCTCTGGTTTCTTGCCTCCGGCCATCTTTTCGACCTTTACCCGCTGTAGAGAGAAGAATCGACAAGACTTCACGATTTCTGCTGCCCTCGTTCGAAAAACCCAGTATGAATTCCTCTGCTTCTTCTTCGTCCTCCCCTCTACCCTTGTGGAAGTCAAAACTTACCTTTTGCCCCTGACATTTGCCACTGTCTAGTCTACCACACGCAGTCGCTTTCCATAGAGACACATTCCAATCTTCCTATTCGACAAGATGGATTCCCAAATCTGCCGAGTCTACAATGTCGAAATGCGCTTCACCAGCGGCAGCAAGCACTTTGCCATCTACGTTGCCAACGACAACGGCCCCGGACAACTCCTCCACGTCCGCTGCGCTGTTGGAAAGGCCGGCATGATGTTTGAGAGGCAGTACTTTGTTGGTCATGGACCAGAAGCACTCTCTACTTTCGTCTCCAAAAGCCCCATTGGCAACGTTAGAATCGAAGATTTGGATCGACTGGCGGATATCTGCGAGGCTATTGGCGCTCCTACCGCTCAATATGTCAACAACGTCTGCCAGTGTGCTACTTGGGTTCATCAAGCTCACATGGCTGCTAAGGGAGCCGGAGTTCTTTTTTGAGCGTTTAAGAATATGGCACCTCGTTTTTGGCAGTGCTGGCGATAGCAAGGTACGGATACGCGATTTGGGTCGATCAAGGACGAGCCAGCATTTGTCTTTTAGTTAGTTTGGCATGTTCACGAGATAGTATCATCTCGAATTGACATCGGTGGTATTGGGAGATTATTAACTCCTGTTGTGACAGCCAATTTTGCTCAACATATGACGCTGCTCAAGGCTTTTACGGGCGCAAGTGCCCATGGATGTCCGTTGTATATCCAAGTAATGGAATCTAGTAAGCCTAATCATTAGCATAATGCAACTCTGATCTATGCACTCATGCTGTGTGTGGCTCTTACAAAGACCATGCTGGTGTTTGCCACTGTTGAGAAAGCAGACATATACATCAGCGTAAAGGAGGCTCGCACAATTGGGCCCAAGAGACCAACTGACTCTTGATGATGTGCTCAGCAATTCACTCAAAAGCGCAGATATGATGAACAAAGGGGACGCCATTGTAACACAGACACGTACTATGGCATGATTCTCGGAGATCTGGATCACAAAAAGAGGAGTGATCAAGGCAAAGAGGTGGTTGAACAAACTTCCTCTTTATTGTCCTCGGCCAAGTCCATAACAAAGACTATATTCCTCTCGGTAGCCTTTTAGACAAAGAAAGGACGTCCTCCCTCTTTCATGGATTATCTTGGACAACAATGTGTAACCTGAGCCAAGGTATCCTTTGTCCGCTTTCTGGCTTCGATGCTACCGATGAGTTTGGCGCTTTCTGCATCAGCCAATACCTTTTCGGCTTCGGTTTGCTTTTTGTGCATCATGACACGGCATATGGTAACAAGCCAGGGTGCTTTTGCTCGAGGACCAGCAAAACGGCGCGTGTGAATCGTGGCACGGCATATGGCAACAAAGCTGAGATTCCAATTCAGAGCCTTTCTGCCAAGAGGGCAATGCTAAATGCCCATGTGTGAATCGACAGCCGCAGCTCCTCGGAGAACTATAAAACCGCGGAAGATGGGCGCCGATAATCAATGGTGGAGTGGCATTCAAAGACCTTATCATCATTCCTCGCACATATAACTCAATCTTCTATCGGCAAAAAAGATCACCAAACACTCTTGAAAATGCCTAACCCGTCGACAGAAGAGGGACAAGCTATCCGTGCCCGGCTGGTCAAAAATCTCATAGATAGAGACGTTCTCGACTTTCTTGACATCCAAATCATTTGGGAAAGAGGCCGGCGTTATACCCTTTTTGACACGATCAGAGCGTTCAGTTTCCAGGTAATGGGGGTTCCAAAGGCAGAGATTGTGCGCACTGTCGAGGAGAAATTTACGGAGCGGGACCTGTCTCCTGAAAAGCAAAGGGAAGTCTTCATTCATCTCGCCTGGTACTTTCGATGCCCCAGTTGCAAAAAGACCAGGACGGCCGACTATTTCGAGAACACGCAATTCAAACTCTGGGACAAGCGGGGAGAGCCGAAGTTGCGGACCAGCGGTGATTGCAAATCCTGCCAGCAACAGCCAAATGCGAATGAGTTTGAATTACAGAATGAACACTATACGTGGTGATAGAAGAGAAGATGAAAGTCAGCTATAGACATGGATCACGATTAGGGCATGGGGAGGGAGGTGGTGATTTGAAGCTTTTTGAAAGAGAACACCTGTAGCTTCGTCTTGGGCCTCTAGAGAGGCATGAATAAAACAGCAGGTTGGGGTTACTCATGAGAGTTGACGCTGCTATGATTGTGCTGAAACCCCATTATGCCGTGGCGATGATTGAAAGTCTGAGTTCGTTTGTCAAAGTGTTGTCAAGTGGCTTTGCGAGAGCTGAGCAGCTGGCCAGAACGGTCCAGTCGGTTGCGAATAACTAATCACTGCCAGCTGCTGATAACTTGAACCTGCCCTTGTCGTCATCAGATAGCAGGCCTCATCTTGAATTTTCCACCTATCAATCCTATCGGGGTTTTTTTAGGCTGCGGAACCTGTAGTAAAGATCCTGAATGCGGAATATGTTGTTCAGAGACTGCAGCTTGTGAATGATGAGCTCAAATTCTGCCAAACTTGTACGTGTTTATGATCTCTTCCCAGAGGCGATCGATCCCCAGAAGAGCTGCTGTGCAGCCCCTACGAGTTGCATTCAAACGAGCAAGGCATGTGGCTATCGGAACCGGAAAACGATGTTTGTTAACCATTTGTGCTCAGTCTTACGGTTCCTTACGATCCATTGTTCTCAAAGACACAAAGAAACACGACATCAGGAACTCTCAACCACCCGTCTCCGGTCCCCAGGAACTCGTAACTACCCGACGCCCGGCTCCGAACAAGTCACAAAGCACATCTATTCGGCATTCGGAGTACTTGTTACGATTAGCGCCATCTCCGAGTTGCAGAAAGTCTAGTGTGGCTATAACTCGCATTCGCTTGCGATATGTGGCGCGATCGCGACAAGGGTATTGCATGAGCCGGAATCCACAACCCGCGGCAGGATTCATACCGTTCGGCCTGGCTGAATTAATGACGTCGGATCAGTGGCGCGTTTACTGTTCGCGTTCGTCACTGCATGGCCCCTTTTGGGTATGTTTTCGATGTGCATGCTATGCTGTAAGGTATGACGACTTGTATTGAGCCTCATGGCCGCCAACTCATATAAATAGCTGAACTCTGTCCACTTCAATCCCGATGTTCAATCAGAATATATCCTACATTGCCAACGATATTCATCAAGGCACACAAACAAGAACAGCACAATGTTTGGCCATTTGATCGACCAAATATCGCAAGTCTATCCACCAAAGCCGTCCTTTGTCGAAACAGAACTATCAGACCTCCATGGCAAGGTAATCTCCTTTTACATCCAATGCATACCTGACTCATACTCACCATCGTAGGTGTATCTTATAACCGGCGCCAACACTGGTCTTGGCAAAGAACTCGCCAAAATTCTCTACGACAAAAATGCCAGCGTATACATCGCTGCCCGCTCAGAAGAAAAGGCTCTGGCTGCCATTGAGGAAATTGAAACATCTTCACCGCAGTCCAGTGGCAAGCTGGCATTCTTGCCCCTCGACCTTGCAGATTTGACTACGATTCCTGCCTCGGCGAAGAAGTTCCTCGATAGGGAATCCAAGCTGCATGTTCTTTTCAACAATGCTGGCGTCATGAATCCAGGCAAAGGATCGACTACAAAGCAAGGCTACGAGCTTCAACTGGGAGTGAATAATATCGGCACCTACTTCTTCACCAAACTTCTGTCACCTGTTCTCGTTGAGACAGCCAAGTCAGAGACGTCCGGAACTATTCGTGTGGTATGGGTTGCCTCATCCGCTGCTGAGTCGCCGGCCGTCCCCAAGGGAGGCGTCGACATGAAAACGATTGGCAAGCGGACAGAGGTGGGTGACTTTACAAGCTACGCTCTCAGTAAAGCGGGCAATTACCTACATGCCGTTGAAATGGCAAAGCGTTTCAAAGATCAAGGCGTCGTAAGTATCGCGCTGAACCCAGGGAATCTCGATTCAGAGCTGTGGAGGACCCAAGGAACGGTTGCTTCAAAGTTCCTCAGGATGTTTGTCTTGCATCCTCCCAAATACGGTGCTTATACGGAATTGTTCGCTGGATTATCGCCGGCCGTCACAATGGACCGTAGTGGTGATTGGGGTAAGTCTATCCGTCCTTTCTCAACATGATGACACAAGCTGACAATCACAGTTGGGCCATGGGGGCGATTTTTGAGTGTACGGGACGATCTGAAAAAAGCCTCTGAGGAGGAGAGCAAAGGTGGTCTGGGGACATCCAAGGCCTTTTGGGAATGGACTGATGAACAAGTACGACCATATGAGTAAACGGAGAATCGGTCACTTCACTCCTGTATATGATACATAATAACTCAACTTTATTTCAGATGGATACTTTAGCTAGGTGCATGGGTGCTTCAGAGCGTATAGAAATTTTGATGCTTCTCTCAACTGTCTGTTCAACCGCCCAACGCCAAATATTATTGACTTTTCCAATGGAAAGAAAATCAACAGTCTTAAAATTTCTTGGCCCACTTGAGGTCCTTGATATCAGCCGGGGAAGCAACACGCACACGCGAGCTACGAATCTCGGGGTTCGATAGGATACCCTCATAGTTGGCGGCAAACTCGGAGCTGCTTGTGACGCCATGCTTTGCGGCATCTTCATCGACTTCGACCCGGAACATCAAGTACACCTCGTTCACGCGCACATTAGTGTTCTCATTTTCGCGGGCAGCTGCCGTAGCCATGGAGAACAAGGGGCCCTGCGTCATGGCTGGCAGCGCAAAGATGGCCATGTCGCCTTGTGAGCCCGTGCAGATGGTCCACGTGCTGCCGGGGTGGTTTTGTTCCTGTAAATACTCAATGGTGTCTCGGTACGCAACTGTGGTTTCGAGCACATTAGAAGGTAGACCTTGAAGCAAACGAATTGGGAATCTCACAGAAGTTGGCCTCCAAGGACATGTTCATGTTTTTACGGAGCCTCTCCGTAGTAATACTTTTGAGAGGAATATCGACATATTCACCACCAACTGAACGAGAGAGCCCGTATTAGCAAAACACAAATTCTATATGGCATTAGCAAAAGGAGAATTACCAACCGCATGTGTACACATGTTGGAAGGCTGGTAGTTTACCGGCCTTGACCTGGTCGACAACACTTTTAATTCCTGTGTCAGACGTGACGTCTGCCTCAATAACTTGAATGCCTTGAGATGTGCCGACGTGTTTATAGAGCTTCGCAGCTGAGGCTTGGTTACGAACGATGGCCAAGACCTCACGCCCAGAGTTCAGGGCACCTTTAACGGCAGCTACACCAATGTTGCCAGTTGATCCAATGACCAGCACACGCTCGGGCATTGTGTATAGAATTTGTTGTTAAAGTGAAGTGATTGAGAGATAGGTTAGCTGACGGGCAATAGTGAGTGGCTGCGGAGGCCGTGCTTGGTCGAAGTCGTGACAAAACATAACGAAATCTATGTGAATATATACTCTTCTCCCTTCTCCTTATCCAATCTCAATTATTGATGCTTTAGAGAGCAAAATTGATGTAGACAAGATGGAAAAGTCGGTATTCTTAGCGAGTCCGAGTGCCGAGCAGATTACCAATACTGGAAGGATTCTCTTGGGTTTAAAGCAACCAACGCATCTCGCTGCTGTAGAGAGTGGATACTCGGACAATACGGTTTGGGTCGGGCGGGTAAGTCGATCTGACAGTTGAATGGTCCGGTTGCTTAACCCCTGCTCTCGGCCGTCGAGCTCCGGAATCCTTTATGAGAGCTACCGGGAATGTGATTGATACATGTATGTACCGGCGGAGAACTCCCTCTTTGATCAAGGATAAATGGTCTGGACATGAGATGAACCCCGAGGTTGTGTTTTATGCAATAGTATTGGAAATCATTTGTCAGCTTCCTAAGGACGTTTGTAAATGTCTCCGAGTTCATGTGTGCTCCTAAACATGCGCAGTTCTCTAAGTGCCTCTTGATTCTTAGCCTTCACTACCTAGGTATCTATAACACACTAAAGACTATCTTGTTCCGTCATCTCTAAACCTAGGGGAGTGCCGACTTTCAACTCAAAATGTCAGACTGTGATTCACCATCTCCAAATACATCAGAATAGGTCAAGGTGATGAGGCAATAACAGCCTCGAGCTGCCACCGATATGTTTCAGAAGACCGATGAGCACAAACTCAACAATGAAGAAAAGGAAGACGGAGATCTGGGACTGGGCTTGATTCTGTTGAACATGTTCCTGCCAACTCTAATGGCTGCAATAGATCTAACGAACACTTCGAACATTGTTCCCTTACTACTCATCTCTGATAGGAATGATATTCACAACACTACATCGTGATTACGGCAATTCTTGTAACTACCAGCGACTTCCATAAGTCGGACGATATTGACTAATATAGTGAAGTCGTTTTCACCACCGTTGGTATCACGTTTGCCGTCAATCACAAGATTTACAGGTATTTTCGGGTCGTTATGTCTACCTCGGCTGCGTACTCCAACGTCTGGTCGTCAGTACCATCGCCGCCCTGGCTCTAAGCAGTATTACCGTCATTATGGGGCGTACCATTCATGTCTGGGGCTTTGTAGGTATTCTGGGCGACTCGGTGCTCTCCCTCTTTCAAGACGGCTACGTTTTTGCCTCCATTGTTCATGCAAAATGAGTACATGACTTAAATACTGCTGCCCATGTGTGACTGCATCTAATCTATAGGTATAATATGATAATTGATTGCACATTTTTAGATATCAATATGCTATTGAGTCACACCTGAAAACAACTCTAAGCCTTGATCTGACCTCTGACCATGTACTCTGTTATCTTGTGCGTGCACTCTTGCTACTACAATGCTGCCATGGAATTAACTGCGAACTCCCACTAATGCGGGCGAATTCATGTATCCAGATAGCCTTGGTGATTATTTCTCAGGACGCATTTGCTCATGATAGCAACGGAGCTGAAATTGATGAGTGAATTTTTTTTTCTCTTTCGCCACCAATATATTCGAAAATGGTTGCTGATACAAAGGTATTCCCATGA